GGAAAGTTTTGGATTACTGATTCAATTTTCTTGTACATTATTCATGTCCGTTCAACTTTGTAGTTTCTTCATTATTCAGTCTTCGTAGTTTGTATGTTCCTGTGAACATATACATTTCTTCTAGGTTTGGTGTATAATTACCCATAATAGTCTCTTGTGATCCTTTTGGTTTCTGTATCATCAGTCTTAATGTCTCCTTTTTCATTTATTTTATTTATTTGAATCCTCTTAAGATTTTTAGTAAGTTTAGATAAAGGTTTGTCAGTTTAGTTTATCTTTTTTTATTTTATTTTATTATTTTTTTTTAAAAAAGCATCTGGGCAGCCTGGGTGGCTCAATGGCTTAGTGCCGCCTTCAGCTCAGGGTGTGATCTTGGAAACCTGGGATCGAGTCCCATGTCAGGCTCCCTGCATGGGGCCTGCTTCTCCCTCTGCCTGTGTCTCTACATCTCTCTCTCTCTCTCTCTCTCTCTCTCCCTCTCTCTCTCTCTCCCTCTCTCTCTTTGTGTCTCTCATGAATAAATAAATAAAATCTTTTTAAAAAGCATCTTATTTTTGTTAATATTTTCTATTGGCTTTCATTCCTTATCTTCCTTATTTGTACCTAATTTATTTTTTGTTTTTTGGTTTTGGTTTTTGCATATCTACTATAGGGTTTTTTTGTGTGTGGTTACTGGGGGGTTATATAAATCATAAAATAGTTATAATTGATTATTTTAAGGTGATTACAATATAACTTCAATCTAATACAAAAACTCTACACATTTTTTACCTCTCTGTTTTCCTACTTTGTATTACTGATGTCACACTTTACATGTTTTTAAATTGAGTATCCATTAACAGCTTTTCACATTTATAGTCTCACTGCTTTTGTCTTTTAAGTTTTATACTAGAGTTAAAAGTGATTTATACAGCTCCATTACAGTATAATAGTATTCTGTATTTGTGTACATATTTAGCATTTTCAGTAAGTTTTATACTTTCACATGTTTTTGTGTTGTTTTGTGTCCTTTCATTTTAACTTGCAGAACTCTCTACCATTTCTTATGAGGCAGGTCTAGTGATCAAGAACTCACTCAGCTTTTGTTTGTCTGGGAAAGTCTTTATTCCTCTTTCATTTCTGAAGGACAGTTTTGCTAGGTGTATTCTTGGTTGGCTACTTTTTTCTTTCAGTAATTTGAGTATATCATCAATATTTTATTGCACTGATATACTAGAAGTTAGTTAATGGGTCCCTATTGTTGGATATGTGACTTGTTTTCAATGTTTTGCTTTTATATAACTGTGTAAATGGAGCATTTTGTATGCAGGTATATTGATAGCATTAATTCCTAGGAAAAAATAAATGTAACTGTAATTTTGGAAGATTTTGCTAAATTGCTGTCAACACACTTACAATAATTTCTCATGTACTCCTGGCAGGTCTACTCCTTCTCTGGTTTCCCCTGCTTCAGCTAATGGCACTACCATCTATCTGCATGTCATCCTTAAATCCTTCTCTCCTTTACTTCCTTATGTAAAGTCAATCACCAAGTCCTATTGGTTTTTTTTTTCCTCCTTGATATGTGCTAGGTTAACCTGTATCTCTCTAAGGCACTGCTCCTGCCTTCATTGTCCTACCTTTGTCTCTCATCTCTCACTCATAACTTCCCTACTGGTCCTCCTGACCCTGGTCGCCCATCTTCCTTGTTTTACAACACATTCAGGCTGATATTTCTTTCCTTCTTTCTTTCTTTCTTTCTTTCTTTCTTTCTTTCTTTCTTCCTTCCTTCCTTCCTTCCTTCCTTCCTTCCTTTCTTCTTTCTTTCTTTCTTTCTTTCTTTCTTTCTTTCTTTCTTTCTCTTTCTTGAGCAGGAGTACAAGCGGTGGGAGAGGGGCAGAGGGAGAGGGGAAGGGAGAATCTTAAGCAGGCTCCACACCCACTGTGGAGCCTGATGTGGGGTTCAGTCTCATGACCCTGAGATCATGACCTGAGCCAAAATCAAGAGTCAGATGCTTGATTGACTAAGCCACCCAGGATGATATTTCCAAAGCACCAATCTGATATTTTCAGAGTGTTTAAAATAATTATTGCTTAAAATAATTAATTATTTCCCTTAAAATAAATTCAACTGCATTCTTTACTGTGGATAATACATTTGCATTTGATCGACACCTGCTCACTTCTCACCTCCTCTTTCCTCACTCCTCTTCCATGCATTTTAAGCTCCAGTCATAGTAAATTCCATGATCCCCAAGTGCACTGTGTTTTACTTTGTGTCTAGGACTTTATGCCTACTGTTCCCTGTCCCTAAAACAGTCTCCTCACCACTGCTATCCCCTTTTCTTGACATGTTCCTACTTATCCTAAGGTATTAGCCTAGGTGATCCTTCATGTGGGGATCTTCCCACCTCTTCAATCTGCATTAAGTGCAGCTTCCATGTGATGACATCCAGTGTTTGCCTTTACCAGAAACTCTTATCTCCTTTTATTGCAATTGCCTGTTTCTCTCCAAAGCCTTCTCTGAAAATTAAGTTTCTTTTTTTTAAATTAAGTTTCTTGAGGAACTTAGTTCATCCTCATATCCTTAGCCCCGGGATTGAGCCTCACATAGAGTAGGCACTTCAGAAACATTTTTTTGAATGAATGAATGGCTATAGTTGTATTGCATATAAGATATATTGTCAAAGTTGTACTCAAAAGAAAATTAATAGCTCTAAATATTTTAATTTTAGAATAAGAAAATTAAACTCAGTATCAACTCAGAGACTTAGAAATTTCCATGTCAGCTAGAAATAAAAAGAAATTTATTTGATTTGACAACTATCAGAAACCAAAAGGAAATATCATGCATCAGGAGGAAACTTTAGTAATATTTCCTTTAAAGTTGGAAATAAGACAAATATGCCTATTGTAACTATTCTTATTCAGCATTGTTTTATAGACATTAATCAATGCAATGCAATAGTTAGAAATAATAGATATAAATATTGGAAAAAGATACAATTGTTACTATGTGTAGATATGATTGTATGCCTTTTATTCTTTTAAATTTTATTAATTTATTAATTAATTTATTTTTTAGAGAGAGTGTAAATGACAGGGGTAATACAAAGGGAGATGGATAGAGAGAGAATCTTAAGCAGGCTGTATGCCCAGCACACAACCCAATGCAGGGCTCGATCTCACGACCCTGAGATCATGACCTGAGCCAAAATGTAGAGTTAAATGTTTAACTGACTGAGCCACCCAGACATCCCTGGTTGTTTACCTTAAAAAAAAATCAATTGAAAACGATTCCAAATACAGTTGACCCTTGAACAAAACAAATTTGAACTGCATAGGCCTACCTTTAAATGGATTTTTAAAAAATAAATACAGTACAGTCCTTTAAATGCATTTTCTCTTCCTTATGGTTTTCTTAATAACATTTTTTCTAGCTGCAAAAATACAGAATGTAATACATCTAACACACAAAATATATGTAGTTGGCTGTTTATGTTATTGGTAAGGCTTCTGTTCAACAGCAGGCTGTTAGTAGTTAAGTTTTGGAGGATTCAAAAGTTACTTATGGAATTCTGACTGTGCCGGGGAGAGGTGTCAGCATCCCTAGCCCCCATATTGTTTAGGGATCCACTGTAACCAGACAAAATAAGAGAAATATACAAGTGTTCATAGCTTCCCGTAGCTTTATTGTCAGCAATAAATGACCATAAACTATATTTTTTAAAAGTCTGCTTACAAAAAAAAAAAAGTCTGCTTACTTTGGCAATGAACACTATAAGGTGCTTCAGAATAAATTGATCAAGGAGTGTGCAAGACCTACCTACATTGTGGTTAAAAGATCAGTTCTGGAATAAACCACATGGGTGTGAATCTTGACTCCAGTGTTTACTAGCTGGAGACCTTGGGAGATTTCAACCCCTCTATATATATGTGTGTGTTTGTAGAAGAAATAACTGAAAAGACACATGTATGTGTGATTAGCACTTTTCTGGGAATTTAGATTCCAGCCTAGTATTGACTTGGCCAGCTTTCTCAGCTGTAAGGTGGAGCTAACAAGACCTACTTCCCAGGTCAGGAAACAACTGTGGGAGTCAGTGTCACAGCATTCATGGTGCATGCATTTTGCCCACGGCAGGGAGCATTGCAAATGTCATGATGATAGTGGTGACACCTCTCTTTTGTCAGGAAGCCTCACCAGGCCTGCAGCTTCCCTCTAAGCAGAGCACTGCAGGAGGAGAGCACCTCATCAAAACCGCTTACCTTACCTAGCTGGATCTCAGGATTTTCTGAGGCTGCCCTCCCTCTTAAGAACCAAGGGAGGTTCTCCTGAGCTTTGCATCTCATATCCCAGCAAAATTCTAAGACTTCTCTAGATTTAGAGGAAGAAATTCTTTTGATTTCTCATGCTCCTCTCTGTGTTCAGGGATGTCGCTTATAGTCTCTGCACCTTGCTATGTCAATCCAGACTTGAAACTCAACATGTTGTGTTCTTTGAAAGTATCCTCTTTTACAGCAGTATTAATGAATAAGTTTTTTTCCCTAAAGATTTTATATTTTTTCTGAAGGATGAATGTTTTGTTGCTCCTGCACAGCAAATAAAGATATGCAGTATATATGTTTGCTTTCCAGAGACTTTTTTGCAATAACTCAGCACTGAGAACTTCTCTCTGTCTCTGCCTTCATCTCCACCAGCTCTTTTCCAGCCACTCTCCTACTACCCCCACTGAACTTTGTACTGTTTTTCTGCTATAAAGCAAATCCCACCCTCTTTGGCTCCTATTGACTTACTTGCATAAACTAGTCAGATATATGGTAGACCAAAGCCCTTTGCTTTAATGGAGTGCCATACCTGCTATAGAGGAGCTATGCATATAGAAATAGCCACCTGTCCTATTACATGTAATTAAATCCATTCATTAACTTGTGGTCGAAATGCTAACTGGTATTTGTCATATGGCTCTGTGGCCCTATTCTTAAAGGAATTTGCCTTTGTCATATTTGTTTTTATTCCAAAGGTGTCCCTCAACCTAATATAACTTGGTTGAAGAGAGGAGGATCTCTGAGTGACAATATTTCCTTGCTTTTCAATGGATCCCTGTTGTTGCAGAATGTTTCCCTTGAAAATGAAGGAACCTATGTCTGCACAGCCACCAATGTTCTTGGAAAGGCAGTGGCAGCATCTGTACTCCACGTGCTGGGTAAGTGTCAAATTCTTCTGGCTGAAGTGCTTCCTGTAATATATACAAAGCAGGACCCAGTTTTGTCATTCTGGAGATGAGGAATAAACAAGATGGATCTTAAATGGTTTAACCATGGCTTCCCTCTCCCCACTTACAACAAGCACTAAGTCTGACATTTTGTCCTACCAGTTCTCCTCATAGAAGGCTGTGACTTTCTTGCTAATACTTCTCTGCCCAGAAAACTACACTGACTTATAAAGTTTTCTGCTCAGAATCAAGACCCTTCAGCTTCTGCCTCTTTATTTGCTTATCTGCTGACCCCAACCCCCATTCCAAGCTAGCAGCGAGCTCTGTTGTAGTCAACATGGGATCCTGCCCTATAATCCAACAGACTCTGCCACCCACATGCTATTTCCATTGAAGTATGGCTTCTGAGCACACTGCTCTCCAAAGAAGATGTGTCCCTCACTGCCTTTCTTTTTGGAAAAATGGAGGGCCAACTTCTGCCTTTTACAGAAGAGTTCCTATCTGGATTTTGTTTGACCTCTTTTCTCTGGTCTTACCATTCAGTATCTGATTAAGTCCTAACACACTTTGCTCTCCAGTTGTTTCCTCTTTTACTTATGTTTCCTCAGCTAAATTGTAGGTCCTTTAATTATAGAGACCATGTGTGATTTGTTTTGCAATTCTGAGGATATAATATAAAATGAGATACATAGTACGTACTCATTAAATACTAATCAACTGAATCTTAAGACATCTTACAGTTGGATCAGTAGTGTAATTTGGAGAAGCTCATTACCATGTGCCCCTTGGCACAGAGTGACAAGCTCAGTGCTGCTTTTACTATCTGTAGGATAATATGTGGAGTTCAACACATTCTTGTCACCAAAATAGGTCTTAAATTGTTGAGATTTTAGGACTCAGTAAGTAATACTCCTCTTTCCCATCAGGATTTGGAACCAATTGAGAATTGATCCCATAAGTCAGTCACATGGACATTAAGGATCATTTATTATTCCTCCTTATAGCTCTAGTACCTAACACAGGTGTATTTAAGTATTAAATCAGTGTCGCACAAATGAATGAAATTGAGTTGTTGGCAGACCTGGCATGACGTTAATAGAGAATTCATTGCTGAACCAAGGGACTGATGGAAAAGAGCCTTCCCCATGGCTTTTCTTCCTGTCATTTAGAGGCACCCAGGGACATGAACAGATGAGTGATGCCAATATGGGCAGTTAGAACAGTTATCATGCATAAAACACTTTGGTGTTCATTAACTCCTCTGATATTTACAATAGCACAGGGTTGGGGGGCAGTTTGAATCCCACTATACAAATGAGGAGACCCCCACAGAAATTTTTCCTAGAGTCTAAATATATAACCTTCTCTTGGAATGTTCTTCATACTACCCCTTGTGGACCATCAGTGCTGACCAGGAAGGCAGTGGTGTACCTCCATTTGACTCTTCCCAAAGATCCCTGTGGTCTTCTAGGATTATGGAATGGAAGATTTTCAACTGATTGAATTGGCCAAGCCTGTCTTATTCTTGAATGCCTCTCGGTGCTCTGAGAAGTGCCAGCCTTATTCCTTGCTTCTGCTCTTATCCACTTATGAAGCTGTATGGTCATCTCAGCTCTGCCCTGCACACCTCTTCCCTCAGAAGTCCCTTCCACTAAGCAGATCATCATTTTGCTTAACTTGACTGAGGAATCAAGAATGTTTTACATGGCACAGTACATGGCATTCCTCCACCGCCCTGCTCTTATGCTCAAGCTTCATGGCCTTTCGGAAAGCCCACATTCCCCACCACATGAAGTCCCCTATGAGACATCATCCATTTTCCTGCTGCCAAGACCCCTCTTGAGTGGAAGAGCTCTTCTGTTCTCAGCTGCCTCATCCAGTCCCTTTTGGAATTTTGGTGAATCTATTTTTTTTCATCTTATTAGGCTATAAACCATGAAAACATGCAGAAGTACCACATGTTAGCAAAATTGCTGTAACTAAGCCTCTGTAGCATGCACACACCCAAACCCACACATAACTCCCAGATCTGTGTGAGCCTGAGCATCCAAGACAGAGCATTTATTTGGAAAGAGCTGACTTCCTAGTAGTTGTCTTCTTTAAAAACACCCAAGTGGGGACAAGAATTGATACTGTTTAACTGGAAAAAAAAGCTCCTTTCTTCTTTCTTTTTCTTCCTCAGAACAAAGACGTTTGGACAGTAAAAGTGTATTTCCCAAGGACCGCAAAAAACATATGCTCCAGGCATCCAACACGGGAACCAACAGTAATGACCCAACAGGAGAACCCCTACCTCCAGGTCAGAGATTTTGACTTTTTAGGGATTTACCATTTGTGAGGCACATGCAGGGAAAAGGATTAAGCTGCAAGACTCCATGTTTTGCACTTCTCAATAAGTAAAACTTTTCCTAGGCATTTGGCCAGCTCTCCCCTTGCCCTCAGTCTTCTGTGGCTCAATTTGTTCCTTCCATATTGAAACATTTTCGAAAAAGAAATCACTCCCAAGGAAGCCTGCAGAGCTCATATCCCAAATGTGCATCATTATTTGTGATAAAATAGGGATTGGCTTTCCAGTTTTAAAACTATTGCCAACTTGGTAAATATTCACAGAGGGAAGATTTGCTAAGAATTCTGGAACCAATTCTTTCATTTTTCTCTTTTCATAAGTTTTTTCCCTATACTTACTAACTTTGTTATGCGTCACTGTTTGGTCAGGAGAACATAATCTTAGTATTTCAAGGCTACAAAACTCTTTAGGAGGCCAAGGGAGAGAGGTAGAGTTAAGAAAATGCTGAAATTGCAGGAAACTAGTACTGATGATCTCAGATTCTTGTAGCTCAGAAGTGAGTAAATCACAGAAGGATACAGAGAAGCTACTATTGGACTTCATGCTTTATTATATGTCCTATACAGGAATAATACTGGCTACATCATTTTGATCTTTTAAATCTTGAACAAATGCCTCTCCTTTGTAGAACATATCCCAAAGGATAACTTTGTAGGTAGAGAGTCTAGAAATGTAGTTCCTAGGCCCCCACCTTCTCAGATGCAGAGAGAGCATAGAAGAGGAAAATAGTATTGGACCACCAATCAAACAGTCCAGCTCGTGTTATTTATGACATTATTCCCCAGGAGTATTTATATATTTCTTCTCCTCTTTCAGATATAATACTACCATTATGAAATGCACTATAATCCATTCATCATTCAGCATTTGTCTTAGTCTATTTTGGCTGTTAAAACAAAAACCATAGACTGGGTAGCTTATAAAGAGCAGACATTTATTGCTCCAAATTCTGGAGGCTGCAAAGCCCAAGATCAAGGCACAAGCAGATCAAATGTCTGATGAGAGGCCACTTGCTCGTTCACAGATGGCCATCTTTTCACTGTTTCCTCACATGGCAGGAGTGAAGAAGATAGATCCCTGGATTCTCTCTTGTAAGGGCACTAATCCCATTCATGGGGGTTCCATCCTCATGACCTTATTACCTCCTGAAGGCCCCACCTCCTAGGACCATTTTGTTGGATGTTGGGATTTGACATCTGAATTTTGGATAGACACAAGTGTTTGCCTAGCACTTACTTTTGCCAGACTGGGGTACAGAGATGACCTGGCCCTTGGAACACTCATAGTCTAGAGAGAAAGGCAGGCATATAAATAGGTATTTTGAAGCAATGTGGCAAGTGCTGTAATAGAAAGATGACCAACTACACTGGCAGCACTGAGAAAGGGGCCCTAGCTCTGGAGAAGACAACCAAGTTTTTGCCCAGGCCATGATGTTTGTTCTGGGATGAGGAAGAACAACATTTCAGGCAGAGACAGATGTGCAAAGGCAGATGGGAATTCCATGTGGAACATGAGATTAAGGAACTCCTTCAAATCAATGAATTTAAAAATTAGGTATTTATGAGGCTAAAAGTGCTGGAAAGTTGAAATCTTTGGAATATTTAAACATTTGGTTTATTAATACTACCTACCTTGTTTGACCACCTCCTACACACATACATACACACACATACACATGTACACATTCTGGAATATGCCAGCCCTTCAATGGATCCTTACCTTAGCATTTCAAAGAGACTCATTTATTAATTTAACAAATACTGCTTGAGTACCTAATATATAACATGCACTGTCTGGCAGTGGACAGGACAGAAGAGCTCCCCACTGTCATGGACTTGGCATCCCAGTAGGAAAGATGGACAATAAACAAGGAAACATATATTTCCCTGTGGTAGGTGCTTTGAAGGAAACAAAATAGGGTGATAACACACTGTTTGCCACCTTGGAGAAGAAAGTCAGGACCAGCCTTCCAAGGATGTGATACTTGAGATCAGACTAAACAATAAAGATAGGACCATCCATACACAAGAATGAGGAAGGAGCATTTCTGGCAGAGGGAATAGTGAGTGCAAGAACCATAAAGTGGCAACAAGCTTAATGTGGTCAAGAAACACAAAGAAAATTCATGTGATGGGGGCACAGTGGAGGAGAGGGAGGAGATATGAAGTTAGAAGGTTGCTGAGGACCGTTGAAGGTCAAGGTAAAGATTAGAGTTTATTCCTGTTCTTCCAGCACCATTTGTTGAAGAGACTGTCTTTTCCCCATTGTATATTCTGATCTACTTTGTTATAGAATAATTGGCCATATAAGCAAGGGTTTATTTCTGTGCTTTCTATTCTATTCTATTCTATTGATCTAGGTGTCTGTTTTTATGCCAGTATCATACAATGTAAGGAATGAAACTGGACCACTTTCTTACACTATACATGAAAATAAACTCAAAATGTACTAAAGATCTAATTGTGAAACCTGAAACCATAAAAATCCTAGAAGAGAGCACAGGCAGTCATCTCTCTGACATTGTTTGTAGAGACATTTTTCTAAATATGTAACCTCGGGCAAGGGAAGCAAAAGCAAAAATAAACTATTAGGACTACATCAAAATAAAAAGCTTCTGCACAGTGAAGGAAACAATCAACAAAACAAAAAGGCAAACTACTGAATGGAAGAAGATATTTGTGAATGACACATCTGGGGTTAATATGCAAAATATATAAAGAACTTATACAACTCTACAGCAAGATAACAAATAATTTGATTAAAAATGGGCAGAAGACCTAAACAGACATATTTCCAGAGAAGACATTCAGATGGCCAACAGACACATGAAAAGATGCTCAACATCACTCATAATTAGCAAAATGGAAATCAAAACTGCAATGAGGTATCATGACACACCTACCAGAAAGACTAGAATCAAAAAGACAAAAAATGGCAAGTATGGGTGAGGATGTGGAGGAAAAGGAATTTTTGTGTACTATTGATACTAATATTAGTAAATTGGTACAGCCACTATGGAAAACACTATGGAGGTGCCTCAAACACTTAAAAAATAGAACTGCCATATGGTCTAGTAATTCTACTCAGGTATTTATCCAAAGAAAATAAAAATACTAATTTGAAAAGTATATGCACCCGTATATTTTTAGCGGCATTATTTACAATAGCCAAGATATGGAAGCAGCCCAAATGCTCATCAATAGATGAATGGATAAAGAAGATGTGATATGTTTATATATACAATGGAATATTATTCAGCCATAAAAAGAATTAAATCTCTCCATTTGTAACAACATGGATAGACCTGGAGGGTATAAAGCTAAGTGAAATAAGTGAGATAGAGAAAGACAAATACCATATAATCTCACTCATGTATGGGATCTAATAATAAACAAATGAACAAGGAAAGAAAAAGATATAAAAAAAAAACCACAGAGAGCAAATGGATGATTAGCAGAGGGGAGGTGGATGGGGAATAGGTGAAATTGGTGAGGAGATAAGAGCACACTAATCATGATGAGCACTGAATAATGTATAGAATTATCGAATCATTATATTATACACCTGAAATTAATACAACTCTATGTTAATTATACTTCAATTTAAAAAAAAGACTATAGTCCTAACACATATGAAGCAATGATAAGTCTTTTATGGAAGTAAATATGATCTACTTTTCAAATGCTCTTGTATCCAAAATCACTAACCATTAACAAAAAATCATCAAATTGAACCTCATCACAATTATTAAAATCTGTTCAAGGACACCATGAAGAATATAAGTAGATAAGCCATAGGCTGGGAGAAAGATTGGCCCAACATATGTCTGATGAGGAACTTATATCTAGAATATATAAAGAATTCCTACAAATTAGCAGTGAACTCTCTCCTCCCCTCCAAAACAATGGGCAAAAACTTGTACAGATAGTTCACAAAAGATCTACAGATGGCATCAGGGAAATGACAGTTAAAACCACAAAGAGAAAAAAAAACCACAAAGAGATACCATTTTACACTTACTAGAACAGTGAAAATGAAAAGACTGACAATGCCAGATTTCAGTAAGGATGTGAAACTACTGAAACTCTTTGTACGTATGGGTGGTAGGTGTGTAATCTAATACAACCACTCTGGAAAACTGTGTGTTAGTTTCTAACAAAGCTAAGCATACACCTACCTTTGACACAGCAATTCTGCTCACAGATATTTACCCATATCTGGGTAAATGAAAAATGAAAACATGTTCACAAAAAAATGTGTACAAGAATGTATATAGCAGCCTTCACTTCATATTCTTCTTTTGGCCACCAAAAGGAGAATAGATAAACAAAGTATAGTATATTCATATGATGGAATATTATTCAGCAATAATAGAGAATGGGCTATGTACAACAATACAAGTTAATCTCAAAAATCTTATGTGAAGTAAAAGAAACCAAGTGCAAAAGAGTACATGAATGAATTCCAAGAGCAGATGACACTAATAACGAATACTTATGGAAATGAACAAGTAATTGCCTGGGAAGGAGGGATAGGGGAATTGATTAAAATAATTTGGATTAAAATAATTGATTAAAATAATTTAATTAATGATTAAAATTGATCAAATTCAGAGGAAACTTTCTGGATGATGAAGTGTTTTATATCTTGCTTTGGATTATGGTTACAAGAACACATACAATTGTGAAAACTCATAAACCTGCACACCAGATTGCTGAGCATTTTATTGCGTGTGAATTACACCTCAATTTAAAAACAGAAACAAAAAAACCACATGTTTTTAAAGAAATGCATGTTTGTCCTGTCATGAAGTGTCAAGGTGTCTTTATGAAATATGGCATAGTAAAGTTCAATGTAAAGTCAGACACACTTAGGTTCTGGGTGAAGGGACTTGAGCAAGTCACTTAGCTTTTTCACACTTCTGCAAATAAAATGGATTGAATCCACAAGATGGCCATAAGGATTAAGTGAAAAATTGATGACCAAGTGTCTAATTGAGTACCCCTCACCTATGAGGTTCTCCATAAACCCAGCTATTTTTAAAAATTGTTTTAAATAAACTGTAATCCTGGGGGCCCAACTAAAAATATATACAGTTCTGCTTTGCAAATGATGCCATACACAACTTAAGACAAAAATTCAAAAATCAGAAGGAAAATCTGGAAAACAACAAGTTAAAGAAATGGCTCTGCTCTGTGAGGGAGTCTGTGGACACAGCTGGTAGCCATCAATTACTTGTGATTGTGACAGGAAAATCTGGCACCTTCTGTGGTCACACACAAATCTGTCATCATCGTATTGTATCTCATCTTTTTTACCAAGTGTCAAAGAGGAAGGGAAAGGCTGTTTGGAATGAGGACTAAAATTAAAAAGCCATAATTATTGGAGGTGGTCAGCTTCAACTTCGCTAAAGGAAACTCCCATTCTTACCTTTCCAGATGTCTCCATGACAAATTATTTATGCAGTTTCAGCAGTAAGCTGAAGTTTAGATAAGAATTAATGGAAAAGTAAGAATGGAATGAAATGCATTTTTAACCTTAGTGCTTAATCCCCAGTCCCTGTTAAACAGTCTTTCATTTCTCTGCCTGGTCCACATTGGAGAACTAGAACCGGTCAGAGCATCCCCTGGAGATACCCTTCTCTCTCGTCCTCTTGGCTCTGCTCAGAGAATGCCGAGGAGCCAGCCCACTGCACAGAGCACCTCCTCCCTCTTTCTGGGATTTTTCTGGCAAGTCCAGCTGGCCTCCAATAGCGCCTCTCCAGGCTGTGGTCCAAGGGCCCCATGCTGGCCACCATTCCCACCAGTTATTATAATAAGTCAGTGGAGGAAACATGAAATTTAAAGGAGCCCTTGCACTAGGGGATGGTTTGCTCTCTGTGCTCCTCGGCTAACCAGGACACAGCTCCTGATGGTCTTTAGCCATGTCCGCTCCAGGCCCATCATCATACCTCATTCAGGGCTGTCATGACATTTCATTTCCTTTCCGCAGAGCCTTTTTGGGAGCTCAGTAACTGGACACATTGTTCTGCCACCTGTGGCCACTTGGGAACCCAAGTTCAGAGGCCCCGGTGTGTGCTGGCCACTGGGCAGGAAGTAAGTGAGGCCTTTTGCCAACACCTCCAGAAGCCGCTGGCCGGGTTTCAGCCCTGTAACATCCGGGACTGCCCCCCGAGGTACGTGTAGTCACTCTTCTCATCTGTACCAGGTATTTGCTTGTGTTAGAAGGCCTGGTAAGTTGTACTTGGCACCAGGCATTCTGCTAAGTGCTTCACAGGGACCACTGCACCATTACCTTGGAGGTAGATGTGGGTTTCTTATTTTACAAGCACCCCAAGGCCGCACTGTTATAAAGGCCAAATTCAAATCAAGATGATCTGCGCTCAGAGCCTCGGCTCCTGACCGCTACCCAAATCTCCTTTCTGTGCTCACAGTATTATCTGGTCTTTAGTGGTGCCGGGCCTGTGAGTTTGCTTCGGAGACAATGCAGCAGGCCAGAGTCATCAGAGGTCCTGTCCAAAGTGCCATTCCCTAGATTCCACCCTGGATAAAAACCCTTAATAACCTTTCTAATGTAAGAGATGATAGAAATCAAAAATTTAAAAATGTCCAGAATCAAATGCACGATCTCCACCAAACCTAATCTGCCCCCCACCCCAGACTTCCAGATCTAGTGACTGCATCCCAGACCTCCCTGCTTCTCTCACTTCCAACTGTTCTTGTCCAGTTCCACCATTCCTGCAGGAGCTTATGCCATCAGCGTCCCTCATGGGGACTGCTACAGAATCCTCCTGATTCTTGGCTCCCTCCCCAGAGTGCTCTTCCCCTACGTAAGCAGAATAGTCTTTCTTTCTTTTCTTTCTTTCTTTCTTTCTTTCTTTCTTTCTTTCTTCTTCTTTCTTTCTTCTTTCTTTCTTCTTTCTTTCTTCTTCTTTCTTCCTTTAATTTTTATTTTTTTTGCAATCAGCAAGAGGGTTTATTGAACGTTTGCGCAAACGGGCTCTCCCCCTCCGAGGAGGAAAAGAGCCCCGATTAGCAATTACAGGTATCTTTTAAAGGCAAAAGGAAAGAAACCGCCTAAAGGCAAAAGAACCGAGGGAGTCGCATAGCATCCAGGTTGATTTCACAGAGGGTCAACATGAATAGTCTTTAAAACATGAATTTGGGGGCACCTGGGTGGCTCAGGGGTTGGGCGTCTGCCTTTGGCTTAGATCATGATCTGGGAGTCCTGAGATCAAGTGCTGCATTAGGCTCCCCACAGGGAGCCTGCTTCTCTCTCTGCCTATGTCTCTGCCTCTCTCTCTGTGCCTCTCATGAATAAATAAATAAAACCTTTAAAAAATAAATTAAAAATAAAACATGAATTCTCCATGATGCCTCTTTGTTTAAAACACTTTAAATACTTCTTGTGGTTCTTAGGACAATGGCCCTAATCCCTAGCATTGTGGGTATGTCTGTCTTGCTCAGTTTTTTCACCCTGGAGTCTACACCAGTGCCTCACACACACTAGTAAAATTTGTTGCCCGGCTGAATACAGGAGTGGAAGAACAAAAGTCCCTCTGTGCTTATACCTCGGGCTGCCATTATACTCTGTCATTGTCTGTCCCAGCCTGGTTATGTGATCACTCCATGCTGTCTTTTTGTCTCTTAGGCGTGCCTTCCTCCTAACTCAGGGCCTTTGCACATGCTGCTCCCTCTGCCTAGAACACTGTTTGCATTTAGTTCTTTCTGTTCATGTCTCTTAGGGAAACTGTCCCTGACCTTCCCCTCCAAGCTCAGCCAGGCCCCTGTACTATAGGAGTTTCTTTTTTTTTTTTTATCATTCATCTTCATAGCCATTCATCTTCATCTTACCATGATCTATCTTGTTCTCCTGCTAGACAGTCCTGTCCCAGGAGGTAAATCCACAGCTGTTTGCAGAACATCTTATTCCCAGCACTTAGCACAATGTCTGCCCCATTGTGCACCTTCCACAAATATGTATGGAGTGAATGAATGATTGATTGAATCACAGAGTCCCTGGCAGGTAACTGACCAAATGGCACCAACATCCCCAGTAAAATAAAATGAAATAAAATGTAATAACAGTAGCATTTATGCAGCACAGCCATGAGACAGGTACTATGTTGGAGAGCTCACTGCCCTCATACAAAGGTCCACACTAGATCTGCTGACCTGGGTCTTGGAGGGAGGAGGGAAGCAGGGCCACACTGGAAAACAAACAGTTGCCTGGGAGCGTGTTCTCGAAGGGTTGTGGCCATCGGAGGCACCCTGGCTGACGTGTCTCTCCACACCTGTCCTGTTCTGTGGAGAAAGGTCTCGCAGAGTCATCTGTCCCTCGGGAAGCAGTGAGCCGCTGTGGCAGTAACTCGGGGGAGCTGGTTATGTCAATTCTCGGCTCTTAACAAAGTGGAAAAAATTTACCAGCAACCGTGTTTATTAAGTATTCTCAAACCTATGCACATTCCTAGAATAAGCAGCTGTCTACTTTCACATCTACGAGAGATGACTTAGATGTCATATAACCCTAGGGCTCTCCACACAGAGGGTCCTTCATCTTTCTGTGCCACAGACACCTCTGGTTGTCTGGAGAAGCCTGGGGAATGACGGTTTTAAATCTGTAAAATAGAATATATTCAATCACAAAGGAAACCAAAGACATTGAAATACAGTATTAACATGTTAAAAAATGATGGTACAGTCATGGATTTGTTTCTCTGTTAATACTGTAATACCTAGCAGTACATTAATTTTGAAGTGATAAATATAAATGACATTTTGAGATGCCTCCCACAGTTATTATGTCATGTAAAAACATCTATGATTTCCATTGGTTAACAAAATCCCAGATATTGCTAGTACTACCGTATTTTGTGACTGACATTTTTATAACAAAAGGAATACTAAGTTTCAGTCGTAGCTCAGTGATGATGAAGAGGTAATTCTTTGTCTATCCGGGTGCGTGGTCCCTTGGAACACCACAGAGCTCAGGTTAGGAACCCCTGCTCTGCTGAACTTCAGGGTCAGTAAGCCTAGACCAACCCCAGCTCTGCTGGCATGTGGTTATGTGGCCATAACCAAGTTATTGACCCTCTTGGACATTGGTGTCTTCCCTACAAGAATAGCAATAACATGTAAATATCTCATAGAGCAAATAGCACCTATGTGTTTTAAAATTATTTTCTCCCCTTAGTTTCAGTGAGTTGAAATTGAAATCATCTTTTTGAAATTCCCACCTAATATTTCCCCAGCTGTATTCCCTGGGGCCACACAAGTGCCAGCGCTCATGTACGTGCAGACTCCACCCCAGTGTTCCTTGTCTCTACCTGGTAATTCTGTTGCTCAATTTTTCCTTTTCCAGACACTCCCTCTGGGATCTGACATTGCAGTCCTCACTAAGCTGCCATAGTTTTTGTTCTCAGGTGGCTCACGGGTGCATGGTCAGAGTGCTCTGTGTCTTGCGGTGAAGGATTCCACAGTCGGCAAGTGGCCTGCAAGCGTATCAAAGCCAATGGAACTGTGCAGGTGGTGTCCCCAAGAGCATGTGCTCCCACAGAGAGACCTCTAGGAAGAAGGCCATGTTCCATTCATCCTTGTGGTCAGTGGGTCGTCAAACCAGGGGGCCAGGTACAAGCTGACAAATCTAGTGCTTTGACAGAACTGTGATTGTCACTTTGCTTCTAATACATTTGTTGTTGTTGTTTCTTTTAAAAAAAATTTTGGGTGGTGGGGATAATCTGATTGATTTCTAAAGTTAATGTATGTATCTGACGTGAAGGATTAGATTTGGAAATCCTAGTATCTCTGTCTTCCCATGTAAAGGTGAACCAGAGTTGGATTCTTTGAATATAGTAGCTCAGTGACAGAAGTTCCAAGACGGGCTGGCCCAGGGCCATCAGAATTAGAGAAGGCTTCAAGAGAAGAAGCAGAAGAACGTTAGTAACATGTGCACAAAAGTCTCATAGCCCGTATCCCAAATACCACCCTGAATAAAATTATAAATAAAAAAATGTTTGAGAAAAAATTTATTTTTTTTAATTTAAAAACAATTTTTAAAAGATCTTATTTATTATTCATGAGAGACATAAAGAGAGAGGCAGAGACATAGGCAGAGGAAGAAGCAGACTCCTCACAGGGAGCCCGATGTGGGACTCAATCCTGGGACTCCAGGATCATGCCCTGAGTCAAAGGCAGACACCCAACCACAGAGCCACCAGGCATCCCGGAAAAAATTTTTAAAAGAAATGTCTAGGAACCTAGTTAGTCTGCTAGGGTTGCCATAACAAAATGCTACAGACTGGTGTACCTGGAAGAGTAGAAATTTATTTTCTCAAAATTCAGAGGCTGGAAGTCTAAGATCAAGTTTCTATCAGTATTAGTTTTATGAGACCTCTCTTTCCCACTTCAAGACAGCCACCTTCTCACTGTGTCCTCAGGGGGCCCCTTCTCTGTGCAGACAGAGAGATTGATTTCTGGTGCCTCTCCCTCTTCTTATAAGGACACAATTTCTAGCAGATGAAGGCCCCACCCTTATGACTTCATTTCACCTTTAATACCTCCTTATAGAGCCTGTCTCCAAATACAATCACTTTGGGGGTTAGGGCTTCCACATACAAATTTTGAGGGGAAACAGTTTGGTCCATAACATTCTGCCTTCTGACCCTCTCTCCCAAATTCATGTCCTTCTCATGTGCAAAGTACATTCATCTCATCCCAGTATCCTTAGAAGTTTTGTCCCATTCTTTCCTCAATTCAAATCCAAAGTCTCACCAAATGTCACCTAAATTAGTTATGGGTAAGAAGCAAGCCATCCTGATGCAGAATTCCTCTCCTGCTGCAAAGCTGTGGAGGCAGACAAGTTACATCCTTCCAAAATACAGTGATGGGACAAGCAGAGGATAGATGTTCCCTTTCCAAAAGAGAGAAATCAGAAGAAAGGGGTGGTGGGTCCCAGTCAAGTCCAAACTCTAGCAGGGCTAATCCATTAGATCTTAACACTTGAGAATAATCCTCTTTGGCTTGATGCTCTGCCCTCTAGACCCACCGGGGCAGTGGCATTGCCCCAATGGCCCAAGACAGCATGCCTGTCTCTCCCACATGGCTCTTTGGAGTGGTCCTGCCCCTGAAGCACTAGGCAGGGGCAGTGGGGCCCATGGAAATTGAGGAGGAAACAGCCTCCCCCTGGGCTTGTTGTGGGAGTGGCAACCCTGGTGAGCTCTGAATCTGGGGTCATTCTTCCCTCTTCCTGAAGAATAAAGCATGTTTGCAGCTGAATGGCTTATCCCATCCTGTAGAATCCACAGTTTCTAAAGCCTTCATTAATTGGGTCCCATCTTTATCTCTCCTGGTACAATTCTATCTCTACTCTTGGCCTCTACTGGGATGGCTGATTAACTCCGTGGGTAAGCTCCTTGGAGCTCCATGGAGTGAAGGTACAGCCACACCTGCAGTGGTCCCTCCAGAACATACAATCTCATTCTTTGAATGAAATATGGATGGACTGAGAGTTTTCTGAATCCTCGAGTTATGGTTCCTTTTTACTTTAATGATTCCTTCAATTTATCTGTACCCTCACATTCTCCTATAAGTACCCTGAACACTTTCCTTAGAAATCTCCCCAGTGAAATATCCAATTTTGTCCCTTTTAAGTTCTATTATCCACAAAACACTGGACCACAATTCAGCCAAGTTTTGCTGTTTTTTGAAAAGATTTATTTATTTATTTGCAAACTGCAATTTTTTAAAAGATTTATTTATTTATTTGAGAGACAGAGAAAGTATACACAAGAGAGTGCATGAGAGAGCACAAGTGCATGAGTGGGGGAGGGGGAGGAACAGAGGGAGAGAGAATCTTGAGCAGACTCCCTGCTGAGCGCAGAAGCTCAAGTTCATGACCCTGAGATCATGACCTAAGCCTAAACCAAGAGTCAGATGCTTAACCCACTGAGTCACCCAGGCACCCTGTATTTTTGCCATTTTAGAATGACGACTGCCTTTCCTCCTTTCCTCCAGTTCTTCCTTATTTCCATCTGAAACCTCATCAGATCAAATGTTCATATTTCTAACACGGTCCAGCTTTTTCAAGTATGCACCTCAAAACTCTTCTAGACTCTACCTGTCACCCAGTACAAAAGCCCACTTCCACATGTTTAGATATTTGTTATGGTAGCACCCCACTTCTCAGTACCAAAATCTACGTATCTGTATTAGCAGGTATCCTCCAGGGGAGCAGAACCAGTAGGGTGTGTGTGTGTGTGTGTGTGTGTGTGTGCGCGCGCGCGCGCTGCGCCTGCATGTGCATACATGCATGAGTTAACAAGTTAATGCAGTTATGGAGGTCGCCAAGTCCCAAGAGTTGCAGAGTGAGTCGGGAAGCTGGAGATTCATTCCAGCCCAGAGGCCAGCAGGCCACAGACCCTGGAAGAGCCAGCATTTCAGTTCAAGTCAAAAAGCAAGAGAAAGTCAATATTCCAGATCAAAGACAATTAAAAGGAATTCCCTATTATTTGCGGTAGGGTCAGTTTTTTTGCTCTTTCTGGCCCATCAACTGATTGAGTGTGGCCCACCCACTTAGAATAATCTGCTTTGCCTTGACTACTTATTTAAATGTTAATCTCCTCCAAAACATCCTCACAGAAGCACTTGGAATAAGTGCCAGATATCTAGACACACTATGGTCCAGCCAAGTTGACAAATAAAATTAACCAAAACAGAACCTATGAAGAAAAATAGAGTACACTATTGAAACAGATAAAGGAAAAGAAGGACAAATAAAAGGTACTCTCCATACTATAAAGATATCTATTCCCCTAAATGAACTGAAATACATAATAAAATTCCAACTAAAACTACAGTAGAATTCTTTTTTGGAACTTAAGGTAATTCTGACATTCATAAGGGAGAGCAAATGAGCACAGGAAATTTTTAGGAAAACTTATTAGAAGGGTGGGTTGACCTTCTTTACTTGGTGTGATCTGATGTAAATAAAATAATGCACCATTCCTGCAGGAGTAACACTGAGTCATGCAGTGTAATGAGAGGACAGACTCGTGTTAAAGTGGGCTTAAAGTTCAAAGGTAATTAACCACACTGGAAGAATGGTTTAAAAAAATAGTGTTGGGGCACCTGGGTGGCTCTGTGTTGAGCATCTGCCTCTGGCTCAGGTCGTGATCCTAGGGTCCTGGGATCGAGTCCCACATCAGGCTCCCCACAAGGAGTCTGCTTCTGCATCTACTTATGTCCCTGCCTTTCTCTCTGTGTCTCTCATGAATAAATAAATAAAATCTTTATAAAAAATAAATTAAAAATGGTGTTAAACCACAAGAGGTTTTTAAAGGAAATTAGAGAAGGCCTAAATGAATGGAAAGACATCCCATATTTATAGATCAGAACACTTAATGTTAAGCTGACCAGGCTTTCCAAATTAATCTACAGATTCAACACAATCCCTATAAAATCCCAGCTGGCTTCTCTGCAGAAATTGACAAGCTGATTCCAAAATTCATATGGAAATATGAAGGACCCAGAATAGCCAAAACAATCCTGAAAAAATAACAAGTTTAGAGGGCTCAAATTTGTCGGTTTCAAAACTTATTAGAGCTATATAGTAATCAAGACAGTGTGGTGCTAACAAGGGATAGAGATATAGATCACTGGAATAGAATTTTAGGTCTAGAGATAAATTTCTATATCTGTATCAGTTGGTTTCTTACAAGGGTGACAAGACCATTCAACAGAGAAAGAATAATCTCTGACAAATGGTGCCAGAGCCCTGTATATCCACATACAGAGAAAAATGAAGTAGGATCTCTAGCTTATACCATATGCAAAAAGTTAACTCAGAGTGGATCAAACACCTAAACTTAAGAGCTAAAACTATAAAGCTCTTGGAAGAAATGTAGACATAAATCTTCATGTCTTGGGTTAGGAAATGGTATTTTTAGATATGACACCAAAAGCACAGGCTGCAACAACAAAAACACAGTCTTTGGGCTATGTAAAAATTAAAAACTTTGGTGCTATAAAGGACATGACCGGGAAGGTGAATGGAAATAGGACCAGTGTGATGGGAAAAGGCCTTTTCAAGCATAAGACAGAGTATAAGGAAAATTAATATTATGACTACAGGAAAATTTAAGAACCTCATGTCAGAAAATTTTTTTTTCTACATTTGAACTCACCTTGACACACAAGCCTCCACTTTCACTCAGAGCAAGAAAACCCAAACTTGGCAGTCGCTTGTGGCTTTAAGCATCATCATTTCTGGACCTAAGCCCTGTCAGTTAGAGGTTGGCCCCATCTTTTTTTTCCCTTCTCCCCAGAGATGGTCTACGTTTCTGGGCAGGGTTTGGGGGGGAGGAGGAAGAGGAGGAGGAAGATGCTCAGGTAATCTTCCTGGCTCTGAGGGAAGGCTGTCTGGCCCTCCCAACTTCCATGACCTCCCCTGGGGAACCACTGGTCCCCTGTAGCTGGGGTTTGGTGTGTGACCTTGTGGTACCACAGCACGCGTGACCTCACAATGTTGTTTATGCTGCCTTGTGCTTTTGTTCTAGTGTCCTCTACGTTGCCTGGGCCGCCCTGGCAGGATGCAGCAGCATCATGCAGTTTGTCAACACCACAACAGCTCTGACCCCCGTTGCGATGACAGAAGGAGGTAATGGCCCTGCCCCAGGGTGACATGAATCATCATCTGCATCAGTCCGTGGCTGTGAATGCTTGAAAAATGAAACGAATGACTTCTTCTGTCTACCACCTCTCACAATTGACAATTCCTATCCAATGATGACTTCTGATTGTGCCATCCTCGATAGTATACATCATACTGAAATATTAACTACTATGTACAAGTATAAGTACAAATTATTTGAATGTTAAACATCTTGAGAGAGGGATACCCCAAAGAGAAAAAAAAAAAGAGAGTAACACTGAGAACAGATATTTTCCCTCTATATACAAATTTGGTCAAGCCTAATAATATTTAAGTTTACAGATTACGTCTTCCTAATGTGTTCAGTGAACCACGGTATTCCTCTGTCTAGAAACTATGTTGTTTAGGATGTTGGCACAGGGGTTTAGCAGAGAATGAAATCAGCTTTTGCCTTGTGATGGGGCTTAAACAAGAAAGGAGTTTGCTTTTCTCTTGTGTAGAAGTCAAGGCTGGTGCATGGTTTGGGGTAGAGAGCATTGTTTCATGAGGTCACCCAGAGACCCAGGCTCCTTCTGCCTGGTCACTCCACCATCCCAGGGAAGCGCTCCCCAGCAAGCATGAAGGAATTCTGAATTCTCTCCTTCTTTTGTTGTGTGACCTGGGCTACCCAGCCTCCTAATTTGCAAATTGGGATAGTACCGTCCACGTAAAATTATGGTTGGGAAGTTTTGAGTAGTTGGCTAGCGCGGAGCCCCTAAGCAGCCTGGGTCATAGCAGGTGCTCGAGATATGGCTCCTCTTCCCTCCTCCCCACCCTGAGTGTTGCCAGAGAACAGGAAATGACCTTGACAGTTGGCTCAGTTTCCATTTTGAGCCTTCAGTAAGGTTTGGCAGTGTAGAATCCGCCGCATTTCCTATTCCCCACAACACAGCTCAAGCCAGAACTATTTTCCTGAAATGGAAGTTGTTTGGAACAGCTGCCCTCCTCTCAACAGACAACCTAGTTTTGTCTTTTGCTGAGAAGATAGAGACCACACACAGGCTGATGTGCATTACCCAGATGTTTCACTTTGCATTCTCAGAGATGCTTACAACACAGATTCATATGCGGATTGAGCTTTCTTTTTAACATAACTGATGTATTTTTCCGAAACTTGCTTTTTAAACTTAAACACTACATTACAGACTTTTCCCCCATCTTAGTACGTAAGACGCACTTTGCTCTTTTTCACTATTTAACATTACCTCATTCCATTGTTGATGGGCATTGAATTGTTTCAGGTTGGTTTTGGGGTTTTTGTTTTGTTTCGTTTTTTGCTATTGCAAATAAATGCTGCAGGAAATATCCCAGAACATACAACTTTATGCACTGAGGGTTATATGCTTGTAGGATAGTTTTTGGTATGGAATGGAATGGAATTGACAGGCATAATTCTGATGCTACTGAGTTACCATCAAAATGTCTATACCAAGAGTGTAGGAGGGTTTCCCCTTTTTATGAATATTATCTGGGTTTCAGTCTTTTTAAAAATGTTGCCAACCTGATGGATGAAAAATTACATCCTTTGTAATTTGTGCTTTTCTGATTACTTTTTTGAGAGAGAGAGACAGAGAACACATGCACATGCTCGCGAGAAGGGGGGAAGGGCAGAGGCAGAGGGAGAGAGAGAATCTAAAGCAGGCTCCTCGCTTAGTGTGGAGCCCAGTGTGGGGCTCAGTCTCATGATCTCAAGGTCATGACCTGAGCCCAGATAAAGAATCAGATGCCCAATAGACTGAACCACCCTCTGATTACTTTTTATGTACCTTTTGATTCCTTGTATCTTTTTCTCAAACCCATTCACTTTTTTTTTCCATCTCTACCATGGGTACCCATAGCCAGGCCATCCTGCTGGTCCCCCTCCACCTGTTGCTCCTACCTAGCCACTCCTCACACTGCAGCCTGAGCAGCCCTTTCCAAAATCAAATCTGATAGCATCATCACCACCACCACACCTCCCCAACAGACTGAAATAACTTTAGAGATCTCACTTGATCTTAGGAAGAAGGGGGACCAAAGTCTGTGATGTGGTCTAGAAAACACCACATGGTCAACTCTTCCCTCCCTTTACTTATTTTTTAAAAGATTTATTTATTTATTTTTAGAGAAAGAGAGAGAACATGGGGGAGGGGCGGAGAGAGAGAGAGAGAATCTTGAGTACACTCCCTGCTGAGCACGAAGCCCAACTCAGAGCCTGATCCCAGGACCCCAAGATCACAACCTGAGTCAAAATCAAGTGTACTTGAGACTTAATCAACTGAGCCACCCATGTGCCCCTCTTCCCTCCCCTTACAGCCCCATCCCAAACCTCACACCCCCTCACTCTTGGTGCTCCAGCCACAATGTTCTCCTTTCAGGACACACACTGGATGTGCCACACTCTTTCCAACCAATGGCAGCAAAAACAAGAAGCAGAAATATACTGGAGAAGGTAGAAGGCATGGAAGGGTCTGTAAGAAGGTTCAATAAATGGCCAAATGTGGCTTTAGAAAAAGAGATGTAGAAAAGAAAAGAAAAAAAAGAAAAAGAAAAGAAAAAAAAGAAAGAAAAAGAGATGTGGGGGCACCTGGGCAGCTCAGTCTGTTAGGCGTCTGCCTTTATCTCTTAGGCATCTGCCTTTATCTCAGGTGGTGATCCTGGAGTCCTGGGATCGGATACCCCATTGGGTTCCCTGCTCAGCAGGGAGTCTGCTTCTCTCTCTCCCCTCTGCCGCTTCCCCCACTCATGTTCTTTCTCTCTCATTCTCAAATCAATAAATCTTAAGAAAAAAAAGAAAAGAAAAAGATGTGGAGATGAACTGAAAATGTGAACTGAAAAAGATGTGGAGATGAACTGAAAATGTGTGGTTGTGTGTGTGTGTGTGTGTGTGTGTGTGTGAAACTATTTAAAAGAAATAATAGAAGAAAATTTCCTGGGGTTGAGTGAGGAGACGGATCAGATTGGCTTTCATTTTTCTGCATCACCCCTGCTTCATCCAGGCTTGGCTCTTCTGCTTTTACATCCTGGTGCTTTGCTTTCATGCTGGGAGTCTCCTCCAAATACCTGGAGGTTTGTGGGTGAAGGACTCAGTGAGGGAGCTGCTGTGCGTTCCTCTTGTGGTCTCTGCCGTGTTTTCTCTACAGGCCTGTTCTGCTGCCTGGGTGAGCTGACCATGGGCTGGAGAAGGAAGAGGTGGTGTCACTGTCCCTTTAGCACCCTAGGGGAGGGAGCAGTGGGCAGGCTGGGGACCTCGAGTCCTGGAGTCGGGCCCTGCTGTTGGAGTGATGGTATCAGTGGCCAGGGGTGGAGGATCAGAGGCGAGCAGGCTGCTCACAGCTTCTTCTTTTGGACCTGGGGGGCCTCTGGGGATGTGGGCATAACCGAAGAGGAGGGGGGGTGTGATGTGTGATATAGGACAGCACACGAGCTCCCATGCATAGATGTATCTGGTGCCCAGACCATGTCCCCCTAGCTTGGGCATCCCCATCCCTAGTCCTATCCCTGGCCGGGAGGATATGGGATGTTCTTGCTGGACCAACCTCTCTTTCTTCCACTGGGTCTTTAATGACTAGCCTCCTGAGCTTCAGCCTCCATGTTGGTCTCTAGCTCCTATGTCCTCTCCTCGTGTATAAGCTCTGGAGCTCCTTCTGACTTCCCACTGGCCCTGCCTTCCATTGGAGCAGAAGATTCTTTGGGCTGGAAACAACACAAGTCAGCTCAGTATGATTTATGGACAAAAGGTGGGCAATTTCTTATTAAGAAAGGACCAACCAACACTTGTGCACAACAATTTGATATCCTTTTAAAATACTTTTTTATTGTATATTCTGTGAATATTTTTTCAAATTTTTTGAGTAGAAAAAGCATATCTCTTACATGGGGGGAGCAGTGGATGGCTGAGAAGTACTGGGTCTCTGCCCGGTTGTCCAAAGCAACTAAACTTCTGGCCCCTCTGATTCATACCCAGTGGGGAAAATAAAGCCCTGGAATTAACAGGACACACTCCTCTTCCCGTGTAAAATCTTGCAGTTTGGTGTGTGACCCTGTTGTTCAAATAAATCTTCTGATGGAGGATGGGGTCTCCCTCTACTGGCTAGTCATAGTACTGCTTCCAACTCTGTAATACTCTTCCCTGAAGGAGCCATCAGGTTTTCCCCATCCTGCTACATTTCCAGTGGGGTTTCTGCACTCCTTACAGATCACGTGCACTGCTAAGGAGCCTTTTACGGGAACACAAAAATGCCTCAAGAATCCAAAGGGAGGATGCAAGGACTTGGACCAAGAAATGAGAAGTCACTGGTTTTTTTTTACCTCCTCTTGTCTCTGCAGCTTTCTGTGTTTTGCTTTCTTCTTTCTTTTTTTTTTTCTGAATATTACTGTTTTTTTTTCTATTTCTCTGGCCTGTGTGGCAAAATATGACTAGCACTGCCCTAGCCTTCAGGTTTACAGATCTTGTTCTAGCAACATCCAAATTCCTGGAAGGAAAACAGTTCCTAAGCCAGTTCAGTCATGCCAGGGCTCTCTTCCCACCACCTGTGGGGTTGGAGACATTCTCAGGTACGGCGGAGATATCTCCCAGGACCCAAGAGTGGCTCCGCTAAGCGGACTCTCCCTTCTGGGGTGAATAAGCATCTTCCAAAATCAGAGGGCACCAACTTTCTGTTCTGTTCGCGAGGGCGAGGAACTGGAGCTAGGTCCCTGTCCCCAAATGGTCTCTGTTAATGGACTATGAGTCATGGTGTGGCCTAACTGTCTATATAAGAGTACCGTCTCCTAGCAGATGAGCTTGGCTCACACGCAGGCTTACACTCCTACGGAATTTAGCCCAAGGTCTTAGATCAACAAAACTGAAAGGTTGTTAGCAGACTTTAAGTGACGGATTGTGAGCCACTCCTGTCTTCCTTGCTTAAGTTGAGCTGCTCCAGCTTATCAGGAGGGCGCATCTCTGGAGGCCTGAGTCTTGACTATGTGTGAGAAGTGGTGGTTTGCACGCCCATCATAGTCACGATCGCACCACCAGCCATGCATCATGCACTTTGCTTTACTAGCCATGCACCATGCAAAGCATGCACCAGACCAATAGGTTCCTAATTGGGAAACCTTTAGTGCATTGAAAATACGGTACTTGGTAAACGGCCTGATCCCAGCGGGAAGTGACATCCCGCTTTTTCCATGTTCCACTTTTTGTTTTTTCCCTTGTTTTCTGTTTTGTTTCCTCGTCCAGACCCAGCTTGAGGAGGAACTGCTCTTCCAGGGCTTGTGACACGTGCTGGCGCACCGGCCCGTGGAGACCCTGCACCGCTGCCTGCGGCCGGGGCTTCCAGTCTCGGAAGGTGGAGTGTGTGCGTGCCAGCAGCTGCAGGCCGGTGGCTGAGAGACACTGTGTGCAGGAGAAGAGACCGGCTTCCTGGCGGCACTGCCTTGGGCCTTCCTGTGATAGTAGGTGTTCCTCCCAGCTGCCACCACCTACCCGGCAGCCTTGTCCCAGCCAGACCCCCGGGGGCACCCACCTTGTAGGTTCTGGCTGATGGGCCGCTCAGGATGCACGTGGCGCCCTGGGACCTGGGGAGGTCTGCAGCTTTGCTCTGGGTGCTCAGCATTCTTTAGATAACAGGAGATCAGTTGGGTGTCAGCGGCCTTGGCTCGTAGGGGCTCATCAAACACTCCCTTTCTGTCTCATCTGCTAGGATGAGGATTCTTAACAATTTGACATAGATGTTCATATATGCATATATTCTTATATTATATATATAACTGTTATTTTATGAAATTTAATCATAAATATATTTTGATAGGACACAGGTCCATCATTTTTATCAGCTCTCCCAGGGGTCCATGCTCCCTTGTTCTAAGAACTGAGGCCAGAGGGGCCGTGAGGCCTGGAGAGCAGGTGAAGCCACTTGGCCTGGCTGAGACGGAAGGTCCGGTTATGATGGCTGTCATGTGGGGCCATGGTTCTCACCCAAGCCTAGTGGGGTGGGGCTGTGTTCAGTTTTTCGTATTTGAGCCTAGCTGATGCACAACGTTGCATTAGTTTCAGGTATAAGACAAAGTGATATAACAGCTCTCTCCGTGATGCTGGGCTCCCCCACAAGTCCAGGTGCCAGCTGTCACCACCTGGCACTGTCACAGTGCCACTGACTGTATTCCCAGGGCTGTGAATCCAAGCCCAGTTTCTCCAGCTCACTCTGATCATGCAGTATACGCTTGTCATTAACTCAAAGTGTGTGTGTGTGTGTGTGTGTGTGCGTGTTTACTTCTCTAATGAGCTATATGTTCAGTGGATATCTTTTTTTTTTCTTTTTTTGCAGGAGACTGCTCAGACACAACTCACTACTGTATGTTTGTAAAGCATCTCAGTTTGTGTTCGCTGGATCTCTACAAACAGAGGTGCTGCCGGTCATGTCAAGAAGGGTAAACCTGTGGTGGAGTCGTAATGCTGCTGTGAAGATAGAACAGAAATGTAAAAGCTCTTTTCCCCATGTAGCTGATTCAGAAACATGTTATTTCTTTAAAAACTCTAGATTCTGCATTCAGGGGTCTATGCCAACTCACCACTGGTGGGATTTCATACTAATGTTTTCCCCAGGGCTGGTTTTTAATCCCAGCTCTTTGAGATGATGTTTTCTGGGACGAACAAAAATACTGTAGCAGGAGTGCCATTGCACTTGGGGCCCTGCTGGTGTCTTCCCCAGTGCATTGTCACGGGCTGCTGCTTCCTGTAACGTGTAGACCCAGAGAGGGCAGGATGTCCTGAGGACGTGAGGGACACACAGCAACTGCTGACTTCCTCTTCTCTTCGGTTTTAGGATCTCACCAGGTTCATAGGCATTCACACTTTAGGAGCTCTCTGGCCAGTAGTTGTTAAAGTGGCATGAGTGGCGCCAGTGGCATTTTTGTGGATCTTTAAGTCTAGTGTGCAAATAAGAGGCAATCTCTCTGGACAAGTTTGCAGCACTGACTGACCCAAGGAGCGGGCGGGGGTGGGGCGGGGTGGCATCTTGTCCTTGCTTGTATAGAATCCGGGGAAGAAAAGACAGAGTAAGTGCCGCTGCCAGTTTCACAAGCCCAGAGATCTGTGACCAAATGAGGCATCTTGGAAATTAAAGGAGAGGGAAGGCTCACCTTTTCTACTGATTTTGAAGTGTGTTCAAAGCTTTCTTTTAAGAGCTGTGAATGAAACTTTTTCTAAGCACGGTTCTCTTGCACACAAACAGAAAATCAAAAAGCCTTATTAGACCTAATTTATGCATAAAATAGTACTCCTAAGGATTTTTTTTATTTCCCAGGAAGATTATAAGAAAGTAATCTAAATATTGGTTGAAAAGGATTGTTTATAGTCAATAGTTGTTTTAATTCGAACTGATTAGTTGGTAAATCCAACGTGAACTTGGGTTAGGCTAGAAGTTATGTTAGGGCTAAGGGTCAGAGTTAGGATTTGGTAAGTTTAGGGTTCCTTTTAAGTGTCAGGATTGGGTTAGGTGAGAACGGAGGTTCTGTCAGAGGAGGGCTGGAGTTGGTTGGCTTTGGCGGTTGGGGCGAGGGCCAGGTCGGGTTGCTTTGGATTGCTTGCGTTGGGTTGTGTTTAGACCGGGGCCAGTGCTGGTGTTAGTGATACTGTCAGGGTGGAGGGTCAATTTGGAATGAATTGTCTCTGCTGAAGTAGTCCGGGGCTTGCGTGAAATTGTTAAAGCTGATTAGGTTCTGGGGCTTTTTTCCCTTATATCCTACCAGTTATGTCTTTAGATGGCACATGACCCCAAGGAAATGGCCATCCCTCCTTACTCAGCATCCCTGCTACCTGTACCTGTGCTGCCCACGGCCGGTTGGCCACCACGTCACCCAAGGCGGGTTGTGCTGCACCTCGTCCCTGATCACAAATAAGTGAACAGCACATGAGGGCTTTGGGTTTGTCTGTGGACAAGCTTGCTGAGTCTCTCTACCATATATTCTGAGCACCGGCTCTCGTGTTCTAACTTCAGCCTCACTGACACTGGCAATGAGCACTACTGTACATGGAGGGTTTGGTGGCCGGGATGGATAGGGATGTGAAGGGCACACACCAGCCCATGGGTTGCTAATCATCAATCACACTTGATTGTTGAAGGTTTTTAAGTTAAAAGAAAGATCATTTGTAAAATACTCTTTGTACATATTTATTATATGACTTAAAGGTGCAATATTTTATTTTGTACAGTATGTAATAAAGACATGGGACATATATTTTTTCTTATTAACAAAATTTCTGATTAAATTGCTTTGTCTTTGTATTTAAAGTTGCTATTTTTCATTTGCTATTGTACTTTTGTCTTATCATTCAAGTGACATTCCTGTGTACTGTATTTTACTACTGTTCCTATAATATAAGAATTAATGTTTCTCTCATGACCCTTAAGTAATTCAGAAATAAATTTACTTTGATTATTCAGTGGCATCCTTATAAATGTGGGTGGCTTATTTGTGTCATTTCTGGCAGCCTTGAGTATCGTCACCTTGGCTTGTGAATCCGGGAGCAAACCTGATGGGCTCGCTGCCCCGGCCTGTCCTAGGAAGAGTGGGTTACAAGATACAGGACAGATCACACAAGATTCCCTCTGACTCCCTTACCCCAAACGTTTGCAACCTGGGGACTGTAATGCAAACCATGTCAAGGACAGAAGGGCTTGAGTCCCAAGTGGATGGCCTGAGACATCAGAGAAGTAGGTGGTAGTAGGAGAGCAGGAGGTACTAATACCCTTTTATTTTTGGCCCTTTATGAGTTTAGGAATGGACTTGAGAGATGTCTGCACCTAAAGGCTTTTTGGCAGCGGCTGGTGAGGAAGCCCTTCCTCTGTGTTCCAGCCATTTCACGCTTGAAGATTGGCAGTGAGTCTTTACAGTCACAGTCATTGAATTTGAGATTCCTTGCCATTTGCCTTGAGCCTTGGGGTTTCTAAGGTCGTTCATTGAAGAAAAATCAATCATTGTAGAGTAACTTGTGAGACTCTTAACCTCATGAGGCCGAGCAATTGGACACCTCAAATGTCTAAAAATATAGTTTTGTCTTTCCTTCTCACTTCTCTCCTCTTTCCCTCCTCCCTTCTTCTCCTCCTTCCTTTGTTCCTTCCTTCCTTCTCTCTCTCTCTTTCTTTTCCCTCCTTCCTTTCTCTTTTCTTTTCTTCCCTTTTATTCTCTCTCTCTCTCTCTCTCTCTCTCTCTCTCTCTCTCTCATCAAACTAAGGCCTATGTGGGTTACAAGGATTGGAGGGACAGGATTGGAGGGACAGGAAATTGGATGTCATTTCCAAATCAGATAAATTTCCCTAGGAACTCCCTACTATTTTCTTGGTAGTCTCAAATACTTTATGACCTGCAGTAACTACACAAGGATACTGAAAAATCCAGTTTATAGTCTGAGCAAGGCTTGGGTCCTCTCATGTACATGATGAAATAAATACCCAAATACTCTATTTCTTACATATCAACTAGAGAAAAGGTGAAAAATGTCATTCTAGGAAAATATAAGGAGAGATCATCCCCAGGCTTTTCTTTGAAATAAACAGAGGATAGGTGAAATTTGCAACAAGCCCTAATTCCCAAGTGCAAAGAGAGGGAAGGTTCCAACAGGGCAGGTATTCATGAATAGCTCCCCAATTCCCCTTCTCAAGCTTTGGGCAACATTCCACAGCTCTTTACTGAACCCTGGCCTCTGCCAGGTGAAGCTTACTCCCAGTACCAGCATCTAACATATTGTCAGTTGTGTAGAATGACCTCGAAAATTAGAAGTAAATTTATTGATAGGTGATGGATAGAGGGCTTCCTTCATTAGGTAATGAGTCAGGCAGACTAGGTCAAACTATTTTTTTTTTAATTTTTTATACTGAGATGACTAAGAGTTACAAAAGCACTGCAGGGAATTCTGGTATCCCCTTCACCTAAATTCCTTTAGCCTTGACATCTTACATAACCATAATACAGTGATCACAACTAAGAAATTGGTATTGGCACAAAAATAGACACATAGATCAATGAAACAGAATAGAAAACCCAGAAATGTACTCATAACTATATGGTCAACTAATTGACAAAGCAGGAAAGAATATCCAATGGGAAAAGACAGTCTCTTCAACAAATGGTGTTGGAAAAACTTGATAGCAACATGCAGAAGTATGAAGCTGGACCACTTTATTTATACCATACACAAAAATAAATCCAAGTAAAGATCTAAATAAAACACCTGAAACAATTAAAATCTTAGAAGAGAACACAGGCAATAACTTCTTTGACATTGGCCATAGCAACTTATTTCTATATATGTCTCCTGAGGCAAGGAAGACAAAAGCAAAAATATATTAATGGGACTTAAGCAAAATAAAAAGCTTCTGCACAGTGAAGGAAATAATCAACAAAACTAAAGGACAATCTATGGAATAGGAGAAGATATTTGCACATGACATATACGATAAAGGGTTGGTACCCAAAATACATAACAAACTTATAGAACTCAACACCCAAAATATGAATAATGCAATTACAAAAAGTTCAGAAGAAATGAACAGACATTTCTCTGAGGAAGACATTCATATGGCCAACAGACACATGAAAAGATGCCCCACATCACTCATCATCAGGGAAGTGAAATATCAAAACTACAGTGAGATATGTCATACCTGTCAGAATAGCTAAAATCAACAACAGAAACAAATGTTGGTGAGGATGTGGAGAAAGGGGAATCCTCTTGCACTGTTGGTGGGGATGCACACTGGTGCAAACACTCTGGAAAACAGTATGGAGTTTCCTCAGATAGTTAAAATTAGAAGTATCCCACACAAACACAGTATTCCAGGCAATAAACTGTTTTTCTGTCACCGGGCTATAAGCCAAGAAATGTATTGTAGGTAATGAGAGCTAGGCTTCATGTCAGAAAGTGTCAGAGAAAGAAGCTACAAATAAGAAAAACAGCGTCAACTGTAATAATGATCCTGTGGTGCTGGGTTGACATTTGAGATTTCGGGTGAATTCACAGATGCAGAAATAAATAGATGTGTATGCATAGGTGTGTGTGTGTGTGTGTGTGCATGTGCACGCACCTGTGCATGCATGGGTTAGTATATATGCAATTAACCTAAGAAACCCCATTACCTGTTTCTAGTCCCCCCACCTCTGGTAACCAGTAGTGTCTTCTCTAGAGTTAAGAGTCTGTTTCTAGGCTTGCCAAATGATTTTCCACAATGCCTGGATTGTCAGATTTGTGTGTGTGTTATCTTTAAAAAGTATTTTATTTTTTTATTCATGAGAGACACACAGAGAGAGACAGGGACACAGGCAGAGGAAGAAGCAGAATCCATGCAGGGAGCCCGATATGGGACTCGATCCCGGGTCTCCAGGACCATGCCCTGGACCAAAGGCAGGCACGAAATCACTGAGCCGTCCAAAGACCCCCTGTATTACCTTTTGTAGCCATTCTGATAGATGTGTAGTGATAGCTCATTGTAGTTTTAATTTTAATCTTCCTAATGACTAATGATATTGAGTACCTTTTCACATGCTTATTTGCCATTTCTCATGGGTTGGATTGTGTCTTCCCCCTCAAATAGTTTCTAACTCCCAGAATATGACCTTATATGGAAATAGGGTATTTTTAGATAAGCAAGTTAGGATGAGATCGTTGGGGTAGGTGACACTGGGGAGAGTTCTATATCTGTGAATTCCAGTAGGGCTGGCATTCTTACAAAAAGGGGAGATGGGGACAAGATGCTTGCACACAGGGAGAGTGCCATGTGAAGATGAAGGCAGAGATTTACAAGCTGGGCGATGTTAGATTGCCAGCAAAACTCCAGAAGCTGGAAGAGAGGAACAGAACACATTCTTCCTACTGGCCCTCAGAAGGAGCCAATTCTGTCAACACCTTGATCTCGGGGTTCCAGTCTCCAGGACTGAGAGACAGTAAATGTCTGGGACACTGTAGCCTTAGCAAACTAAGGCACCATCTCTATCTATTCTTTGGTGAAGTATCTGTTTAGATCTTTTACCCATTTTTTCCTGTTCTTGAGTTTTAAATATTCGTTAAATATTCTGGATAAACGTCCTTTGAAGTCTATTTTGTAGATGAAGAAATGGGTTCAGAGAGGTATTTTTTTGATATTATTATCAAAAAAATAAATAAAAAGATGTAGTTCCCATTACTATTCTAGACTCAGCATCTTTTCTTGCCTCCCTTTCCCTTCCTGCCTCCCTTCCTTCCATCCTTCCTCCTTCTCTCCTTCCTTTTCTTCCTCCCTTCCCTCCCCCTCCTCCATCTTCCTTCCTTCCTTCCTTCCTTCCTTCCTTCCTTCCTTCCTTCCTTCCTCCTTTTCTGCTATCAGCCAGGAATTATCGTCAGTGATCCCTGCTGATGTCACTTCCTAATCATGATTTGATCAGATCATAGACTTAGCATTTTTAAATGCTTGCTGGAGGTGAGCCTCTCCCAGCCACCTGTCCTGGTGAGCAGTGATAGTTCCACACAGGCTACAAATAAAGAAGTGCTGATGGCCATGTTGGAGTGATGGTTGACAGGCCCAGCTGCCCTAGAGAGCAGCTACCAAACCACGTGCTATGTCCCTGGGTAGGTTGGGGACGGATGATGCCGGGTGAAACCTGCACATCCACATAAAACAGCACTGGGTGGAGAGGGGAAAAAAGCTGAAGCCTTGAGAGAATATAAGACTTCTCATGTTTTGTTGGACATGGTGACCCTTTCAGAAACATATTATCAACCCTCTTTTTAAACAGCCTTTTTGAAGCTTGCTAATTTAGGATTACAAAGTTCACCCTCCCCCTCTCTGAGGGCTGTTCAAGGGAGCTCTGCTTGCCTTTATATTAGGAGGTGCCTCCCTTCACACAGCAGTTCTTAGGGCCTTAGGCAGTAGGTTCATACAAAATCAAATCTGTAAATCTTTTTTTTTAAGATTTTATTTATTCATGAGAGACAAGGAGAGAGAGGAAGAGACACAGCTAGAGGGAGAAGCAGGCTCCCTGCAGGGAACCCAGTGCGGAACTCGATCCCAGGACCCTGGGATCACGACCTGAGCCAGAGGCAGACGCTCAACCACTGAGCCCCCCAGTGCCCCTCAAATCTGTAAATCTTATTAAGCAGGAGTATGGGGTTCCCAACCTCTGACTGGTGAACACTTCCCTCCTGTCTTCCTGCCCAGCAGTTTTTGTTAATAGTCTTTTTAGGGCAGTTTTGGTTCACAGCAAAATGGAGTTGCAGGTACCAAGATGCCCTGTAACCCCTACCCCCTCCCCTGCCATGCACAGCCCCAACAAGAGCAGTACGTTTGTTACAATCCATGAGTCTACACCGACACATCCAAATCACCCGAAGTCCCTAGTTTACCACAGGGTTCACTCAGCATTGCCTGCACAGGTTTTATAAACCACAAGCCCATTCTGAGTCTGTGAGGCTCATTTTCCATGATAAGGATATGCGGGGAGACAGTGGACACAGGATGGGGTGGGGGTGGAAATTCCCTAGTGCCTGCTTTCTTCACTGGATTCATCCTGGTTTGGCTTAGTAAAAATTGCTTCTAGGATCTGGCAGGCTGTTAAATATTACTGGTTTCCAGTGCTTTTACAGTGCTGTGTGTGTGTGTGCCTGTGAAGTACATATTTCAAGGAAACCTAAAGACACCATGAATCAGGTGATGCATGCAGCTATAGATCCCTCTGTACCTGTGTTCACCTCATTTCCCCCCTTTCCTGCTTTCCTGGACCTGGCAAGTGCCTACTGACTGTTCAAGATTCAGCTCGGCTGTCCTCTCTCTATGGAAGTTTTTCCTAAACCCCCAGGCAAAGTGGCCCATGTACACCCTGTTCCAATCTTAGTCACACCTGTTATAGTAAGTGCTAGATTATGGGGACACACCATTATTCATCTTTGTGTCCTCAGCTCAAGTCACATTGCCTTGGGATGTATTGCCAGGATACATCTTATTATGAGTAACTTTTGTCTCGAGAGGAGACCACCCCCATTAGGTTGCAGGGGGATTTGAACATCCAGCATCAGAAAATGGGCTAGGTTGAGAGTGTTATCATATTTCCTACTGTTTCATTTTGAGTATATAATAATGTTTTCTATTGGAAAGGTAGGAATACCTAGTTATGTACAGGTTAAATTAGATAAGACATTATTAAAAAGCTCTCTTTTCCAGAGAAAATTTGGTACAGAAATGATTTCGTGAAGATTCATTCATTTTATTGATGCTTTATTAATGTTGCATAGATATAAAATTCTACATATCATAATTTTCACTAATAAATACAAAGATAAAAACAAGCTACTTTCAAACAACTAAAAACATTTTAGCATATAGTTTGAAACAGCTATAAAGCTATAAAAGACCAAACGTAGTGAAAAAATAAATCATCCTCTCTCATAATGCAATCATTTATCAAAGAAAACAAAACAGGAGTTTGATTCATTAGGAAATTTTCAGCATTTATAAATGCAACATGTTCTTCCCCCTTCACTTACTGGCATCATGCTTTTCCTCCAACCTTAGCACTCAGCTCAGACTGGAGAAGGACATGATTATGCCCCATTGTAAGCCTGGTGCTGCTTCGGAACAATGACTCTAGGCATGGCAATTAGATGCATCCTTACCCGAGGTCACCCTGAGGATTCTTCAGAGCTGTCCATCATTCCTAAAACTATTCTCACAAATACTTCTTTCCTTCTTGTAAATGAGGTCTTTCAAACCATGTTCTTCTCCTAATCCAAACTCTCTGTTCTCTGTAAGAAGCTTGCAGGCACTTGCATGACTATGGAGGACAAGACTCTTCCCAGGAACCAAACTACTCAGAAGCTCAAAGCAAATTTGGTCATTTTACAATCTTTGCCTTGGGCCCGAAAGTGAGTATTGAGTAGGTAATTACCCTAATTTGAAAAAGGAGAAAACAAGTTCAAAAAGAGATTAAGGGACTTATTAAGAATTCCTGAGATTTGTTCAGCATTTTTACTTTCAGCTTACGATGAGTCAGTCATATGATCTGATGCTCAAAACAGAATGTCTGAACTAAGCAGGGCAGGTGTCCTTTTACAAATGAAGACATTGGGGCTCAAAGACATGAGTCATTGGCCTAGGGTGATGTCACTGGAACCCATGCTCAGAGCCTTGATTCCCAGCCCGCAGAGCCTTTGCTTGTCACAGCACAGTTTCTCTTACGACCTTGAACGTGGTGAAGAACAGTGCAATCACCCTCAACACCACCAAAGTACAGTGCATAGATACTCTCTGATGTCTGAGGAAATGAAGGCCATTGTCTTGGATGAGGGAATCCATGCATCATTTTCAGAGGTGTGCCTATATAGTTCTAACGTGTTTTATACTTGGCAACTGGTACGTAAATAACCAGGTAGTTGCCATACTTTAAAACATAGTTATAAATGATAATCAATTGGAGACGAGCTACCAAATAGTATGTTGGGAATTAAAGTACTTCAGATGGGAATGAATGTCTATTATTCAACTTTCAGAATAACAGATTAAAGAACAATCTTGGTAAAAAAATATCAATGGATTGATCTTAAAAAATGGATTTTAATGTCTTTATTTCCTATAATTAATTTTCTAATTTTGTTGTTCAAAATTTAAAAATGATTTGTTTTAGCTCTCCCATAAATAATTTTTACTAAAACAAAATGGCTTTGGGGTGGCTGGGTGGCTCAGTCGGTTAAGTGTCCAACTCTTGATTTCAGCTCAGGTCGTGATTTCAGGGTTGTGAAATCGAGCCCTGCATTGGGCTCTGTGTGCTGGATGTGGAGCCTGCTTACTGTTCTCTCTCTCACTCTTCTGCTCCCCCCCTCTAAAAAAGTTGGCTTTGCCCATAGAAAACCAATATCTGTTAGCTTCCTTTCAAACATGAGTTGATGATCAGAAGGCCTCCACTGTGGGTGTGATCTTGCGGAAGAATTTATGACCTCGAGAATTTGTATTTTCAAAGATATACCCTGGAGGAGAAGGATAGCTAGCAGGGCAGATTTCCTGTTTCTTTGGTGTGTACTCTATAGAGTACATGGTTGTGTCATCAAATGGAGCAGAACTCTTAAACAAAGCATGTGCAGGTTTGCAGCTCTCTGTTGGGACCAGCTCATGTGGCACATAGTGAGACCTGAAAGTGCTCCAACCATCAAATTTTCCAGATGGGTTGGGAATCTGCTGTTGCTGCTTAATAAGACCTTGACGACAGCATTCCCAGGCTGGAAAATCTTCCTTTGTGGTGCTTTTTCCTTGAAAAGGAAAATTGTTAATTCTTCTCTGAGAAACTGGTCTGATGGGAACAACACGTTTGATCTGATAGGGAATATAGTCAAGATGGCTTGTGCTGTTTAACTGCATGGTACCTGTAGGTGGGACATACTCTTGTAGTTTCTTGACTTCAGGTGGTGGAATTTCCCATGGTTGAAAGCTTTCACGGAATTCAGTACTTCCTTCAAAATGAGCATTTTGGGTCACTCTGGTATATGGAGGTCTGCAGATTTTTGCAGTTTCACCTACAAGACCCTGAAAGTCATATCGGTGAGTTGTGAGATCCTCAAAGGGTTGGCTGGTTGGCTTGTACACTTCTTTTGGCCTTGCACACTTGAATTCTAGCTGATAAGGTACATAATCAAGGCGATGACTTGTATCACCATTAAAAGGAACTGTAGAGCATTTGGCCACAGGGCTGGGTTTAAAGTTTTGCCTAGGCTTTATCTCCTGAGGAACATAATCATCCTGAAATGTAGTTGAATTTCCAAATTTCACAGTTGGGGGATGATAAGTTTGTTCTGGTTTATAAAGGTCAATTTTCTGAATGTCCCAAGCTCTATAATTATCTTGAAAATAAAAAAGAGAGCATTTTAAAATACTGAAGAAAACAACCATCTTCTAAAAATCATGACTTACTTCTCTCATTGTCAAACATCATTCCATTTCCTTCAGAAAACACTAATCAAGTATGAAGTTGATTAGATTCCTCTGATTTATGTTTTTTCATATCCACTTTTCTCTTCCTATCTCCCCACTTTAGTACGTATAACTTTCTACTTCTAGATTTACCTGAATACACAAGGGAATGGAACATCTGAGCTTGGATTGTTGATAGTTTTTGAAAGCCTGTGTTTTGAGTAAAGACAGAGTTTAGGAGATTATGGCTGTGTTTTTCAGGAACTGGTTGGGATTTTCACCATAACTCATGAAATGCTAAAGTAAACCATAAAATCTAGAGATTAACATAAAATCAAAGGCCCAGATACGTGGGCAAAAGTGATTTGAGCATTATTCTTTGCCTTGGATGGACTCCTCAAAGGAGAGAGAATTTCAGTTCCATTATACTATAGGAAAGTCTACCAGATGCTCTGAGCAAACATACAGAATCACCTGAACTATCCAAGAAAGATCATTGCCTTCAACTTTACCTTCTCAGAAAATGGACTTCAGGGTGTCACCAAAAGACAGAGGGCCATCTAGAGGCCAGAGGCCTGAGCTGAGTGCTTTCAAACAGCAACTAACCTATTTTATACTTCAGGTTACAAACAACAGAGGTTCCTTCATGATGCCTCAAGAAAAAGAGAGTTCACAGTAAAGGCTTCCAGGAAACTGGTACTGGAAAGCTGTCAGGGTCAGAGGAAGCTTGAGGAAAGAGCTACTCCCTCCCTTCCTCTCTGCAAGAGCCCATGGTTTCTATTACAGCATGTTCACTTCTCTGCACGCATCTGGTCTGATTGCTACTCTACTACCTGGGCTCTTCTGCCTGTTTATCAGTTCTGTTACCCTACAGGTGGATTTTTTTTACAGGTGGATTGTGAAGTCTTCACCTTACCACAGCTTCTACTTCATGGTATCCTTTTAGATTCATCTCTCACTTTTATCTAGCTCCATTTTTTCAAATTTGGGTTCACAAGAAGAAGAATGGCTTACCCAGCTCATCTCTTCTTGCCAGACTATTTTGTCTTGTCTCTTGGGCCAAGCATCTACTCTCATCCAAATATCAGTAGCTTGATGGGGTAGAAGTAATCATTCAGTCCACAACTTGGCCATTGTGGGAGAAATGTCTGTGAATGAAGAATTTTTCTCTCCAAAGTAGGTATCCATGTAAAATGCATTTGAGTTTTGGCCTTTCCAATAGACATTACATGGACTTTAGTCTAGACTCTAATACGTTATCTTGCATAACTTCTGTCTTTTATAAATTAATCTTTGGAATTTTTACAAAGATTGCATATATTCCCTCCCCTTTTATGTATAAAATCATAACACAATTTTTTCAGGAACTAAAAGGAAGTAACAGGGTGCTTTCTACCTTACTGCCAAAACAACTGAGGAAAATGTTAATTTTATGAGAGAAAATAAATAGAAATGAGTATTTCTCCCTTACCAACCATTAGCTTCAATTTTCAAAAAGGAAGTAAGAATTTGGAAACTGAGACACAAGGTTTGACAGCACATGTTACCATGAATATCAGTTCCAGATAACTGCAGAAAATTGATTTTCCTTTTATACATATGCCTATGCTCATATGCCTGGAATACTGATTATTTGTTTACTCTGGAATATTTATTAATAACATTCTAATGATACCTTTAAAACATCATAGTCTTTATTAATATCATCTGATTTTAGTATCTTATGGACACTTCTAGAAAGGCAAGCATAATGCCATGCACATCTAACAATACAGTCTGGTCATCTGGCAACTGCGGTATTGTCCTGATTAGATAAGGGCAATTCAGTTTCCTCTGCTCATTCTTTTGATTCCTGGCCACTAAAATCTACTTAGCAAGTTTGCTTGCTTCTGAACCACTTGAAGTCCATGAGGTGCCTGCATGTTTTTGCTCACCATGAATGTCTGTATGCAGAGCTCCAACCTCATCCTTATTAGTGACCTGTTCTATGTTCCTCTTTGAGGACATAAGTCCTAAGTTGCCTATGCTAGTTCTCTTCCTTGGTACTTTGGAACCTGTTCCCTGTGGCATCTTATGGCACCATAGACTTGGAAATAACCTTTATAAAACCAAGGAGCTCCATCATGGGCATTTCTTTCTCAATCTACATGTCATCAAACAACTCCCATACTTTTAATACTGCCTGTAAGCTGATGACTTCTACAGGCTGAATCTCCATTCCAGACTTTCTTTCGAACATCAAACCAACATATTTACCTTCCTACTAGATATCTCTATTTTGAGAGGTAAATGGAAATTCTGTATGCTCCAACTGAATAATCAATCTTGAAGTTTTAATTGAAATTTTAATTTCATTTACATTTAATGTAATAGTGAATGCTGTAGTTGAATTTAAGTTGACTATATTGCTATTTGCTTTGGACTCTTCTCACATGCTCTTTGTTTCCTTACTCTTACCCCTTATTTTCTGCCTTCCTTTGGATAAAGGGTATTTTTATTATTCTGTTTTCTCCATTAGCATTTTAACTAGAATTTGCCCTACTATTAGAATAAAAAAGCATTTTTATGTATTAGGGGATCTTCTTGGCCTACTTGAACTTAAATTGATATTTTTACCACTTCTGGAGAAGTGGAAGAAACTTTCAACAGTGTAATTCCATTTACACGCTGCTGTCTTTTGTGCTATTACATTTTACTTTTATATTAATATAAAAATACATAATATAACTGTGACTTTAAGAAGTCAATATTCTTTTATATTTATCCACAAAGTTACCCTTTCTGTGTGTTACATTCCTTTCTGCATTTCATGCTGCTCTCGGAATCATTTCCTTTGAACCTGAAGAACCTCCTTTACTACTTTTCGTAGTATGGGTTGGTTACTAACAAATTCTCTGGGGGTTTTGTTTGTTTCTGAAAACATTTTTATTTTGCCTTATTTTTGAAGGATATTTTCACTAGATATAAAATTCTGGGATTCATTGGGTTTAAAGTTCTAGGGTCTTTGTTTTGTTTTTCAACACTTTAAAGATGTCATTGCATTATCTTCTGGCTTCCATGACTTCAGATGAAAAGTTAGGCATATGTCTAGTTTTTCTTTTCACAAATAATGTGTAGTTTTTCTTACTACTTTTGAAGATTAACCTTCACTTGGCTTTTAGAAGTTTGATGACAGTTGCCTAAGTGTGGTATTCTTTGTATTTATCTATTTGGGGGATTTATTGAGCTTCTTGAATCTGTGACCTGATTTGTGCATCAATTTTGGAAATTTCTTGACCATCATCTCTCCAGATATTTCTTGACTTTACATAGGTCTCATATTTTACCAAATGCTAGATGGCATGTATATGTAAACCACAGACATTAAAATCAATGTTATTTTCAAAAGGAGAAAGCTTAGTGTTTCCAATGTTAGGCAGATCACCTTGAGCTAGGAATTGAGCTAGGTTGGTGCTCAGAGGCACTTTTAGTTAGACATAATCTTTAAAATCTTTCTCTAGTTACAAGGACAGGAACTGTGGTGTGTTTGTGGTAGTGTCCTTATTCTGTGGTACATTATGTCCTAAGCACTTACTCCCAAGTACAGCTATGGGATATTTCTGTGGGATCTTTCTGGCCCAGTCTCCTAGCCCATCATACCCTCTAAACACTCAGCAAACATCCCACAAGGAAAATCAGCCATACATCTGGAGGACTGATAGATTCCAGTTTGTCATACCAGTCCACATATCAGGTGCTCCACTGGTTTGCTTTCACCCAGTAGAGTCTGTTATGCCACCGCAGTCTTCAGCCTAGGCTTAGGTGTGACAAATGCTCCCAGGGAAGTAAACAGTTGGCTATTTTAGGTCACCTAAGAAGGCCTCCTCCATCTCTGCAATTTTAGTTCTTTGTTTCCACAGCTGTCTAATGCCATGAAATAGATTTTTTATACTTTAAAAATTTGTACATATTTTTAGCTGTTGCAGTGGAAATAATGGCTTTCTGTCATTTACTGTATCCTATCTGGGAGCAGAATTCAAACATTTTTAGCAGCTACAAGAAAAATACTAAGCTCCCCAGCCTAGTAATCAAGACTTCACAATCTTATCTCTATCTACATTTATAGAGGTACACCCCAATCTCTTCAGTTCCTGAAATCCTCATGTTTACTGAACAACCCCTTTATTTTTCTGGCTCTATGTGTTTTTGCTCATTTCATCTTAATTTTTGTGATTTCCCTCCCTTTCCTATAGATCAATACTTCCTGGGGATCCCTGGGTGGCACAGCGGTTTGGCGCCTGCCTTTGGCCCAGGGCGCAATCCTGGAGACCCGGGAACGAGTCCCACATCGGGTTCCCGGTGCATGGAGCCTGCTTCTCCCTCTGCCTGTGTCTCTGCCTCTCTCTCTCTCTCTCTGTGTGTGTGTGTATGACTATCATAAATAAATATTAAAAAAAATTTAAAAAAATACTTCCTGGTCTCTGATACATTCTCAGGCTGGACTGAAGTGTTATCTTGCTCAGTCTCAATTTTTGAAACATGACTTGTTCCATTAATTTTCTAGTGAATTCTCCTCCTCCCTAAATGATAACACATATTATTTATTTCTAGTATGTCTATTTAGTTTTTATGCTATTATTGCTTTTTCCCCTCAATCAAAGTATCTAAATGTCAACAAACATGCTCAATTCAAATCTCTGCATTCAGATCTCTATAGGGCCTACTACAGAGCAGAGTAATCCTTAAACATTTATCAAACCAAATACTGGCCTATTTTCATCATTCACGTTTCAATATAAATGACTTTCTAAACTGAGCCTGCTGGGGGCAGATACATTTCTCTCATAGAACTGAATCTCCAGAATCTAGATTTACCCTTCTCACCATAGCCCTACAGGGTTTTTTCTTTCTTTCTCATTATCATATTCCCTCTCTGTCTTTCCTCTGTTTCCTGATTCTCAGTGGATAGTGAGTCTGTTCTCATTGTGACTTATTGCCAGCTACAGACCTATCCTTACATAAATACCTACAAAACCTGCAGTATAATCATCACACAGAATGAGTACTGCATTAGCCCTTAGTATTTATTGTCTCATGTTCCCACATCTGGAAATACAATAACCTTTCCTCACGATGAAAGGTCAGAAGTGAGAAAATCAGAGGAGGCCCAGGAATCCTCAACATTGGATTATAGGGGGAGAAGTATAGAAATCTACAGGAAACCCAGGTAATGAGCTTAGAGAATGTGTGTGTGTGTGTGTGTGTGTGTGTGTGTGTGTAATAGTCACAGGGAATATCAATATTACTGATATTTTTTAAAAATCTTATGGGACAAAAAAGAAAAGAAATTATGATGGTTGTTAAAAGACACAGTTGTTTTCACTAATTTTATTTTATGTCCAATTGTTATGGCAATACATGACCTCCTCTGCATACCAGTAAATACAGAACTGCAATTACTATATGCTGTATTGCATTATAACAATATACTTGTTCACCACGTGCATTGTCTTAAAACTTTGTTCCTTGTGTAGCATCTTATGTGCTCACAGCCTAAAAGATGAAAGCACAATGCTCCTGACCTCCCTCCCTATAGATCATAGCATACTGATAACATGTAATCACTTACACATTGAACTGGTAAGGGTGATATTTAAAGAAAACATATGCATTCAGCTATTGCCTATTTAAACCGTACAGCATTGCTTTTATTGTGGGTGACATCACTTTTATAAATGGGTTTCATATGAGGATATACCTCATATAAAGGTATATGATTCAGCTGTATCACATAATGAATGAAAAGGATATAAACTTAAATATGAAATCACATTATTAAAAATATAGAAATAATATGTACTAACAAGATAGACTTTACTAAAAAAAAGACCCCATTCTCTAAAAGCAATAGAATATTTTAAAATCAGGTTGATTTTTGGGGAGAAACCAGCCCCTTACTCTTCTAAGTCAGTTGCCAATAGAGAGAAGGTATTTTCACACTTCTTCCATGCTGGAAGTCTTGGAGGAGCTGGTCTCCTAAGTGGTGGTCCAACATTGTCACTGGGTGGATAAGCCTATTTTATTAAGTATCGGGAAGCATCTGTTTCATCCTTCATGCTGGTCTTTATCACTATAAAGGGAATATATAGTTCTCCATCTGCTAACTCTTCTGCTTTATCAGTTGGTTCAGAACCTAAATCGTGAAGGGAATGCTATTTATTTGACCTTCTGAAAGACTCAAGTAAACTCAGTAGAGTTTCAGCTCATTCTGGAATGGAAAGAAAGGAACAGTGCCAACTAAATGTGGCATAATGTGGTAAGTGTGACATAATGCTTTTTCAAGGACATTCTTTGTTTTTATGGTTGACCCTTGAACAACACAGGAATTAGGGGCACTGAGCCCCTGCACAATTAAAAATCTGCACATAATTTTGACTCCTCAAACTACCAATGGCATACTGTTGATCAGAAACTTTAACAATAGCATAAACAGTCAACATATATTGTGTATGTTATATGTATTACATGCTCTATTCTTTACAATCAAGTAAGCTAGAGAAAAGAAAGTGTTAAGGAAACCATAAGAAAAAATACATTTATAGGACTGGACTGTATTTACAAAAAAAGAATCTACATTTACTTGGATCCACACAGTTTGAACCACATTGCTAGTGGGTCAACTGTATATGCTTTTAGATAGAAAAAAATGAATTAAGTGGCTAAATTTAGACAGAAATTAAGGTCTTTTAACTTTCATTCAGGCAAATGGTCTTTTTTTTTTTCACTATATAATACTACTTTGACCAAAGCAAAAAAAAGTTTCCTAAGTGGTGGGAACTAATTTTGGCAACACACCAAATTATGCTGTGATGTTGGGTGGAAGTGGGCTTTAGTCTTTTTGGCTCCTTCACCTTTGAAATGGCAAGTTACCTTTATAGGTTGGGACAGTGTCCACCTTCCCTCGTTTCACTTGTTTTCTTTCCAAAGGCCGGACTATGGCCACAGGCTGTACTTTGTAAGAATTAAAATCCCGTTTGTAGGTAGTACCAAGATCAATCGCCCCCTGTTTTGGTTTGTATTCTTCTGGTACAGGGCGAGGCTGTTTGACTATCTCATAAGGACGGTAATCCGATCTGAAACATATAAATTTGAAACATAGCCTCACAGGTTCCTTTATTTCTAAATATTTCAATGCAGTATTGACGTTTTCGAAGTTTCTTTCACTTAGAAAGTCTAAAAAGATATTAAAGTGGTGATAGCTGATAAACTACTTGAAATACTTTAATTCCTTCATGTCCTATCCACTGACTAAATAGCTTAAGAAATAAGTGTGTCAAAAATCCTAGTTTTCAAACATCATTATTATGTGATCTTTAGTTGATTGGATCTTAGGTAAATAAAATCTTTTAGTAACTGCATTTTTTTCTAACTAGAAGGAAATCTTAGGTGAAAGATTTAATGACTCTAAGAAAAAATTTTAAATGTATCCTGAGTCTACTTGTCAAAATCCTTATTTATCCTACTTGAAGACTAAGCTAAATTTGGACATGGTTCTTACTGAAATCATGCTGTCTTCCCACTTATTATTAAATAATCAATTAAATGAATAATCAATGTCTAAACTCTGGCCTTCAGTCATAAGTCACATTCATAGTATAGATGTGATTCTCACTCATCTCTGGATCCTTGAGAAGCCCTGGCCATGAATGAGAGCCATAGTGTAGTCCAGCCACCCCAGGCATTTTGCAGAAGTGGTGCTTCAGACACTGGGGCTGACTGGTGGGGCGAAGATGACTGGCCCAGAGTGACCCGACAGCCTGGGTCCAAATTCACTAGATGCGTGACCTTGGACAACTTAGTTAACCTGTTGAGGCCCCAGTTTTCTTATATATAAACTAGGACAAGCATGTCATCTACCTCATAGGGTTATTTTAAGGACTGGAACACGCACATGCACACACACACGCATACGAGAGCCTGGTACATGGCAGCAGCAAGATGTTAGCTCCTATTATGACCACAAGTCTTCAAAACTGCTTTTTTCCTTCTGAACTCTACTGTGTCCCTCATTTTGTTGGTTTGAACCATCTTATATTACTATTTCCTATTTACGTCCATAAGCCCCCTAAAGCAGAAGCCTCATTGAGTCCCTCCTCCCATTCACAATGTCCCTTCTTAGACTTGGTGGCTCTTGTTCAACTGGGTCCACATGCTCCGGGCCACTGTCCAGCACAGCGGCTTCCTGAGCATGGCTGAAAGGCCATGGTGGCTTCTTTGTGACTGAGTCCATTTCTCATCTGTCCTGCGGGTCATTCTTCCCCACTCCCTCCATCTCTGGGAGCCTCTTTCCTCTTGCCTTCATGCTGGTTTCTCCTCAGTCTCTGATGTGGCTGTGACCCCTGCTCCTCAGCCACTGAACACTTTGGCTACACATGGTACTGTTCTCCCCCAGTGCTCACCCCTGAAGACAGCTCTACTCTCACTAACGTCAGTTACTACCAATAATGACCCACCAACCTGTAAATCAGCTCAGACTTCTGAGCTCCCTACCTGCATTTGCAGTGGCATCTCCAAACTTAACATGCCCCCAGTCCAATGCACTATTTGCCCCTGACAGATGTGGTCTGCTGGCTGGTGGCCCATCATAGGGAAGGGCATCACCATCTCTTCAGCTGTGCAGTGACCAACAAGCACTCACCCTTCACCCCTAGCTCTCTCCTGGGGCTGCTTCATCACCAGCTCCCGCCACCTTGGCCTCCTTTCCCTCTCCAATCTCACCCTTTTCTCCAGGTCATTACTACAACACTCCAAGCTCTCATAATAGCTCATTCAAGTCAATTCAACAATTCCTAAACTCATTTATATGCATCCACTCTGGTTTCTCTCAAGTCTTTCCTCACCTTGCACCCAAACTGATCCTTTCACTTGGAAATTTGATCAGGTCATGCAGGTCCTCATCTGCCTAGACTCTTACCCCATTCCACACCCCCTCAAAGAACAAGCAAGCACACAAGCAGACAGACAAATGAGAAAGAAAAGAGATGTCCCATGATCTCTTACTTCTCCAATGACACAGAAAAAAATGCATGTGGCCTCCTTCACTAGCTGCCTCCTCTGTGCCCCAGCTGACTTTTTCTGAGAATTTCCTCCTCTCTCTGCTCCTGCCTCCTGCATGCTGCTCATTGTCTGCCATGCATTTCCTTACCCACTTCATCCAGTTAATTGCTTCATCCTTCAGGATTTCACTCATTCCTCTCAATTTCCTGATAAAGTCAAAACTTTTATTCTGGCTCTCAAAGCACCTCATGCCTATTCATGGATTTTTTCCCTGGTGCGATTTTGTACTTATTCTGAGTGATATGTTGCTACCTTCCTTAGACCGCAGCACCTGTGAGCACAGAGATCATGACTGTTGCTGCTAACTGCTGTATCCCAGGTGCTTAGTGTGGTACCTGACACTAAATAGATGCTTACTAAGTATTATTGAATAGATAAATAGAAGTCACATACCTCTCATTCTCAATACATCTAAGTTGTTCTTTGCTCTTCCCAAATGCCAGCTAGAGGGGAATAGGCTAAAATGCAATCAGGGAGTGGAAGAATCAGGGAGAGGACAGAGAGAAGGCTTAGATGTCTTAGTTTTTCTAGGTAGATTAGTTAAGTGTTAGAAAGTGGATCCCTGGGTGGCGCAGCGGTTTGGCGCCTGCCTTTGGCTCAGGGCGCGATCCTGGAGACCCGGGATCGAGTCCCATATTGGGTTCCCGGTGCATGGAGCCTGCTTCTCCCTCTGCCTATGTCTCTGCCTCTCTCTCTCTCTCTGTGACTATCATAAATAAATAAATTAAAAAAAAAGTATACCTCCTCACCCAAAGCAACTTTCTATGAGCAGTAATGACTGAATACACTCTTAGACATCAGATATGTCCCCAAACATAGAACATGTCCATAATCATAATTCCAGGGCAGACTTCCTGCCAACTCTGGCACTCACTTAACTACTGCAACTGTAATGCTGTGAAGGATCAAAAATCTTGTCTAGACCTCTGCTCTTTACCCAGTCTCATCCTTTACTATAGAAAAGTATAGAATGATACTTTGTTCTCCCTTGGTACAGATACATCAGCTTTCTGCTGCTTAGTCAACACAGTCAACAAGAGGGAGTTAAGGAAAGGTTCCAAACCTCTAGCATAGGGCTCTTGGAAACACTGCTAGTTTCCTGGTCAAAATGTAAAGAAAAGATGCAATGTTTTACTAAGTATAGAGATGATGATTTAAGAAATGGATATTTTAGTTTTATTGGCATATTGGACCTTTTGGGAGTTGGGACATCTTTTTCTTGTTTGTTTTTTGGGTTTTGCTTTGTTTTTTTGTTTTACTATCAAGGGATAATTGAACAAGTTACCTGACAAACCCAGAATTGAAAAGAAATTGCTTTTTTAAAGAAAGATATGGCAGGTTACACTTTTTAATTATTTTAACACTTAGAACTAGTTAAACGCAGAATCTTTATTCAACAAATATGCTTATTGTAGAATTTATTTCAAATCTCCATTATGGATCATTAAGGCATTGAAGAAGAATGTTAAAGCAAGAAAAAAAGAGCAACCACTCCCATTTGCTCTGTCCCAATCGATTGTTCAATTTCTTCATCCTATTTGCTATAATCTATATTTTGTTTATTCATCTGAGTTTTTGGTTCTCAATTGCACTTCCACAAAGCTGTAAGCAACAGGAAGGCACAGTCCTTCACATCCCACGTCAGACACAGGGAACAGCGCAGTACTCAGCCCACTTCACTGAATCTGTGGCAACAGAACGACCAGCAATGCTGGTTAAAAATGCAGATTCCTGGGATCCACTCTGTCACCTGTTGACTGTTTTAGGTGGAATTCTGGAATCTGCAATTTTAACCCTTCTGGATGATTCTAAAGCAATCTGAGGGCTATGGAAGATTTTCATATCTGTGGAAGAGCTGCACACCTACAGAAGTCAAAGAGAGTCACCAAAGCACTGTGACTACAAGAGTTGCCTAAAATGTTAAAGGTAGAAGTACTGGACTAAAAGTTTGGAAGTTTCAACCTTTGCTCATGCAAGTAAAATGAGCTCTATCTAAAATGATATGAAAATGGTAACATTGCAAATTGAAGTTGTTACAGAGCATTTTTAAAACCCCAAATTCCAGAAATCTGATGTATGTATTCCTTGAAAGCAAGAACCTCTATTTATTGGTCTTATACTTAACACCTAAGATTGTGCCTTAAATATGGTATGCACATTAATAAGGAAAATAATGCATTTACAAAGATAAAAAATATTTTTTCTTAAAAGTAGCAGCGGGATGCCTGGGTGGCTCCGTGGTTGAGCATCTGCCTTTGGCTCAGGGTGTGATCTTGGAGTCCCAGGATCAAGTCTCATATCGTGCTCCCCTTGGGGAGCCTGCTTCTCCCTATGCCTATGTCTCTGCATTCCTGTGTCTCTCATGAATAAATAAAATGTTTAAAAAAATAAAAAAGAAGCTAAGTCCAAATGAGTTTAGGATTAGGATTTCTTTTTTTTTCTTTTTCTTTCTTTTTTGTCATCTATCATCCACTGAATAAACACTGAGTGCCTATTATGCTAGCAGACATTGTGCTAGGTTTCTGGAAATAAAATGCTAAGATGAGAAGGGACAGAGCCCCTCTTTGCATGGCCCTCTGAAATGATAAATAATAGGAAGATGTTTTAGGGGCTTACATAGGGGATTTTACCCAGCCTGAGAACCAGGTACAGTGCCAGCGGCCGTCAGAGTACTTTGAGATCTATAGGTTACACAGGCACTAACTGGGGTCATGGTGAGGGAAAATTCCAGGTAAGTAAAATAGTATATTGGAAGGCTCTATGGCAAGGGAATCCTGATATTTTCAAGAAATGAAAAATGTCCTATGGGATGTGAGCATTAAAGAGCACAGTGACAATAAAATCGAGAAGCAATTAGGGACCAAACCATGAAGGGATTTTGGTAGGGATTTTTATATATATTAAATATTATGGGAAAGTTTTTTTTTAAAGATTTTATTTATTTATTAATGAGAGACACAGAGACAGAGAGAGAGACAAAAATACAGGCAGAGGGAGAAACAGACTCCATGCAGGGAGCCAACCCGGGACTTGATCCCAGGTCTCCAGGACTACGTTCTGGGCCAAAGGCGGCGCTAAACCATTGAGTCACCCGGGCTGCCCTATTATGGGAAAGTTTAAGTATTTTAAGCAAGGAGGTGATAGGATTAGAACTGCACTTTGAAAACATCATCTCTGCGGGCTGAAGTATAGGAAACAGATCAGAAATGTCAGACCTAGAGTAGATACAGAAAAAACGGGAAGCTCTTGTATTCCTCCAGTTGGAGGTGACAGTGGAAAGCAGACAGACATGAGAGATTTTAGGTGGTTAAAAAAAAAAAATCAAGAAAACTTTGTATTTCCTCTTTTCCTTACTTTGTCATTCTAAGTTACTTCTCATCTTTCTGATTTTCTCAAGTTGCAACTCAACTAGTTCCTTGTTTCTTGGTTCAACTTTGATAAACTTAATAGTTCAATTTAAAGAGTTAAAAAAACTTTATTAAGACTAGAAGAGTTGTGGGATCCCTGGGTGGCGCAGCGGTTTGGCGCCTGCCTTTGGCCCAGGGCGCGATCCTGGAGACCCGGGATCGAATCCCACATTGGGCTCCCGGTGCATGGAGCCTGCTTCTCCCTCTGCCTATGTCTCTGCCTCTCTCTCTCTCTCTCTCTCTCTCTCTCTGTGAGTATCATAAATAAATAAAAAATTAAAAATTAAAAAAAAAAGACTGGAAGAGTTGGGGAAAAAATAAGTCAAGCAAATAGTTTCTTAATATTTACTTAAATGTTGTTATTCCTTCCATTTTGCCACGGCATGCTCGAAATTCTTGCTTGGGTTTAAGACTCTGAGGTGGAAGCACATTGCCATATGTAGGATATTTTTCCAAATATTCAGTTGTAGGGCAAGAATGGCCAGAATTTTCATAAATTCTCGTGGTTCCATGTGGACAGTGATGTCGCCTGTGCAAACATAAATACACTGCAAGATTATTTTGACTTCCCAAAATATTTTATAATAATTGCATCTTAATCAGTCCTCCAATAAGCATAGGATCTCTAAATTTAAAAGCAGCTTTACTAAAACACACACACACACACACACACACACACACACAAAACCCTTCTGTTTATTCTGTAGTGGTGTTTGCCAAAACAAGAATTAATTATGGTATGTCCTTTCAGGTGGAAACTCTGGTTTTTCTCTGACAAAGATATAGTAGGTCTCCTTATACTGAGAAGCTGAAAAGCCCACAAGCACATTTCCCAGGTCCCTTGCAGGCAGGTTCCACACAATTGAGCTTTCAACCTGTTGTATGTTCACATGAGACTCTGACTCAGAATGCTACCTGGGGAGAGAGGCAGGACACAGCCCATTGCTGCAGGATTGTGGGAGGGACAGGAAGGTTGGAGCCAGCAGCTATCCGGCAGCATTCAGCCTTGTAAGGGGGCTTCCTGACCAGCAGCTCCCTGATGTTGGCAGTAAGGAGTGCTTCTGAGGCCTATACCTTGGCTGCTGTAGGTTCTCGGTTAGTAGAGGCAGCAGCTCCCTTGGCAGCCCAGTTCTGAGATGACATTTCTGGGAATCTTTCCTAAAAATCTTATTTTGAGAACTGTTTCTTCGGTTCTTCCAACAGTTCTGTGAGCTATATATACTCCTTAGTAAATTCTTCTATTTTTAGACTAGAACACGATAGATTTCTAGACTAGAACACGATAGATTCTGTCTGTAATGAAGAACCCTGGCCAATATATCATATAAGCTAATATCATGCATGCAGTGGTTAAAGAGAAGGGGTTTGTTCTTGAGGTGCAGCCATTGCAAGATGCAGAGAAAAAGTTGTGGTAGAATAGAATGTATGGTATGGTTTCTCTCTCTTTCCTTTTAAAGAATATACAAAAAGTCTTAAAGAACATTTAGTATTTGTGGCGACCTGGATTCTGAGGGATTTTCACTATATTCTAGGTTTTTTGCCTTGAATTTGCATACTATGCCTATTTATTCATTTCATAATCAGAAAAAAAATAAAAGCTCTTAAAGAGAAAAACCCAAGCAAAACACAAAAACAGTAAAATCCCACAATGCTGAAATATGAGGTCAATTTCTCAGTCCTATGTCATTTGGGGACTAAGTGCTAATAATCCAAGCCCATGGAAGGAAGGTTGGATTTGAAGAAAATGCATATGGTCTGTAGATGAAATCATAACCCCCAGGAAGAACATAGGAGTGATAAGCAGCTTTGCTTAGAGGCTGCTGGACAGCAAGAATTGCCGTGCAGGGAAGAGTGAAGAGGTGGTGTCATAGGCTGTTCAGGAAAATTCAAAGTGAGAGGAGTCAAGAAATTCAGGATTATCAGCTGACAATAGAGGCTTTGGGAAAGTACTGAAGTGATTTAGTATCACATCTGGTCTTTTGGAAAAATCAGGGACAGGGTACATAGGTCATACATGCAGCTTCTGATTTGGGTGCATGGAGTTACAAGAATCAAGTCAAAGCTTTGGAATTTCTCATTGTTCTTAGTTTTATTTTCCATCAAAAACATTCATTCATACTATAACAAAACAATTAAGAAATACTGAAAAGCTTATAAAGGAAAGCAAAAGTCTCCTGTCCCAATGTTTCCAATCTCTAGAAACAACTTTCTGACAATCTCTTTTTAGTTTTTTTTGGAGGCTACATCTGCTTTTTAATTTTTTCTTTTTAGTAAGCTTTTAACATCTTGATTTATCCACTTAAATTTTACAAAAGTTCAAATCCTAACATAAATGTGACAGATTTTATTGATACCATTCCAATATTCACTTCCCACTGCTACATGATCATTCTTTCATTGTGGGGAATCTACATGCTTCTAATATTTATTTAGCAAATACTTACTTAATTCCTAGGCCAACAGTGAAGCTAAAGGAGAAGACTGTGTTTATAGGAGCTGGGAAGTTGTTAGGCAGGACTCCCAGACCAATCCTTGGTTTCTAGGTGAAGGCTACTCCCTTCTCAGGCAGATCCCTAGGGCTCACTGCCTGGAGGGGACAGGACGGGGTCAGGGATGGACGGAGAGCGGGCGGGGGCACTGCCTGGAGGGACGGGACGGGGTCAGGGATGGACGGAGAGGGGGGGGCACTGCCTGGAGGGACGGGACGGGGTCAGGGATGGACGGAGAGGGGGCGGGGGCACTGCCTGGAGGGATGGGACGGGGTCAGGGATGGACGGAGAGGGGGCGGGGGCACTGCCTGGAGGGACGGGACGGGGTCAGGGATGGACGGAGGTGGGGGGCACTGCCTGGAGGGACGGGACGGGGTCAGGGATGGACGGAGAGGGGGCGGGGGCACTGCCTGGAGGGGACGGGACGGGGTCAGGGATGGACGGAGAGGGGGCGGGGGCACTGCCTGGAGGGATGGGACGGGGTCAGGGATGGACGGAGAGGGGGCGGGGGCACTGCCTGGAGGGGACGGGACAGGGTCAGGGATGGACGGAGAGGGGGCGGGGGCACTGCCTGGAGGGATGGGACGGGGTCAGGGATGGACGGAGAGCTGGGCGGGGGCACTGCCTGGAGGGACGGGACGGGGTCAGGGATGGACAGAGCTGCAGGTGGAAGGAAGCAAGGCAGGGTTGAGCGCTCAGGGACCTGCACATCGCCCTACTCCTATGGAGTCCCAGGGGGTCCGACCCTCCCCCCTCCCCCGCCACGCCCCAGGCCCTAGAGGACCGGTGCCCCTGCGCCCCTACTTCCGCCAGCGGGCCCGCGCTCAGGGCGCACCGGGCCGCCGGGTCGGCAGCCGACACATTTAGTCCGGTAGCTGGCGGGTCCGGGGCGAGCGTCCACCTCCCTGGGCTCCGGGGGGCGCCCGCTCCGGGGTCCGGCCACCCCGCCCGCCCGCCCGCCAGCCCGGCCGCCGCCCCGCCGGCCCGCCCTTACCCGCAGGTGCAGATCTGACACAGACACCGGCTCCTCATGCTCTCCGCCCGCTGCGGCGGCCCCCGCGGGCTCTCAGCACCTGCAGCTTCGGCGGCGCCCACGGTCGTCAGGGCAACCGCGGACGCCGGGGAGACCGACGCGGCGCCCGCTTCCGGCTTCCGGCGCGTCCAGACGCGCGCGGGTCAGAGGTCGTGCGCCCGCCAGCCCCGCCCCCGGCGCGCGCGTCCGGGTCCGCAGGGCAGTCGGCGCGTTCCGTCCGCGCGGTGTGTCGGGCTGCGGGCTGAGCGGGGCGGCGGGGCGGCGGGGCGGCGGCGGCCGGTGAGTGCGGGCCGGTGAGTGCGGCGTCCTCCGCAGGCTGCGGGCGGCAGCGCGGGGGCGTGGCCGGGGGCCGCGAGGAGCCCCGGCTGGGAGCGGCCGCCGCCCGGAGCCCTCGGGTCCACGCGGGGCCGCCGCCTCCGTGGGCTGTGGGCCGCGATCGTGGAGACGGCGAGCGCGGGGCCCCCGGGAGGTGAAGGGAAGGCGCCCGGGGCGGGGGGGCTGCGCTCCGGGAGCCCTGCAGTGCACCTGCTCGGTGAGGGCGCGCGTGGGCTGGAGTGCGGGCGGGAGGGAGCGGCCGGGGGTCCTGGCTGGGTCCTCGCTGTGCGGCGGGTCCCGGGGGACAGGCGTGCTGTGACCTCCGCTCGGGTGCTCACCTGGGCCCGGACCTGGGCGCGACCCGGGCGGCGTGCGCTTGAGCAGACAGGCCCCGGGTTCCTTCCCGGCGAGCCCTGTCGGGCCCCCACGTTATAGGGGAAAAGTAATAGGTTCACGGGGGAAAATTAACAGTTTAGGCCCGATCTTTAGCGCGTGTGCTCTTGTGATACACAGGAAATCAGGGATCATGGTGCTCAGTAGTTTGGAGAAGATGATTCACCTGCAGAAAAACACTGCTAACATCAGGAACATCTGCGTGTTAGCTCACGTCGACCACGGTAAGAGTCCTTCTCAAAGGGTTGCTTTCAGTAATGGAGCGGGTGTGTCTCCGCAGGTGTGGGAGGAGCGAAGCTGTGCGCAGGGGAGACTGATGAAAGCGAGTATGGCTTTCCAAGTTTACTGCGAGAGACGCGGCCATAAAGCCCTTGAAATGAACGTGGCTAACTAGTGCTTAGCGTTCTTCTGTGTGGTGTATTTCATTGCTTTTTATTTTATTTTTTTTAAGGTTTCATTTATTTTATTTTAGAGAGTGTGAGCGTGCAAGCAGGGGGAGGGGGAGAATCCAAGCAGACTCCCTGCAGGGCTTGATCCCAGGACCCTGAGATCATGACCTGAGCTGAAACCGAGCGTCAGATGCTCCACCACTGAGCCACCCAGGTGCCCCTGTGTAATTTTTTTTTTTCTTAATGAGAACTCGAGTTTTGATTAAAATGAACATCTTTGGAATGGATTTGTAATATAAAAAGTCTGTAGTGTTGACATAATATCTTCAGAGCCTGTGTTATGTGATTCTATTTAACTCATCACGTATTTAGTGAACATCTGTTAAACTCCAGTTATTTTGCTACTTTTGTCAGAAGATAGGAGCTTACAAAGAGGGCAGCAGTGGAGCTCTAGAGGAGATTGGGGGTTGAAGCCGCACAAGATGAGGGGCAAACTGGACTCTGAGGGGTAGGAGAACTGGAGGATCGGGAAGGCAGGAATGGGTTAAGAAGAGGCATCTTCATGCTATATTTGGTTTTAAAGGTGATCCCTGAAGGTGAGGCACACGTTCCAAGTGGGAATAGCATCAGAAGGGAAGAAGGAGACATAGGCCATGGGAAGGGCAGAGATAGCTAATGGACAATGTGTGTGCTCCTGACAGAAAAGCTGCTCTTACACCATCGCATTTCTTCCTGCTCTTGACTTCAGACTCCTTCTTAGTTCAGGTGGCCACAGCATGGTGATAGGAACAGGTGTGTGAAGATATCTTTACCATCCTGAAGGTGAAGAGGCTGGCTGGGTCATAGCTCAGAGAGCCCTTCATGCCAGCTGGAGACCAAGGTCAGGGTTAAGGGCTCTAGCCCTGGAGGTAGACAGCTGGGGTTCAAACTCCAATTAAGTCACAACTGGGCACCAGGATCAGGGTTACGGACTCCAGCCCTGGAGGTAGACAGGCTAAGTTCAAGCTCCATTTAAGTGACAGCTGGGCACCAGGGTCAAGGTTAAGGACCCCAGCCCTGGAGTTAGCCTGAATTCAAACTCCTTTTCAAGTCACTTCGCCTTTTTGAGTTTTGACATGCAATGTCTAGACTGAAAGGAAGATCTTACCTACTTAACAGTGTTGTGGGGATTAAATGAGGTAATAATGAGAAGCCCTTGGCAAGTACGCACTTTATTGTGAAGATGATCATTAACATTTATTCTTAGGTAGTAGGGAGCCACTGGGAGAACAAAACAAAGCAGGGGTGTTGTAATCAGCACATTAGAAAGATGAGTCTGGGGGAAGTATTCAGTATGCACTGAAGGCAGACAGTAGTGAGGTGACTGTTGCCACTGGTGTAGTAGCTGAAAGGCAGTAGTGTGGGAACTGGGAGGAGAAGTAGTGGGTCACTATGTAGGTGAAGCCAGCTGAGCATGAGCATTGTGTACAGGTCCAGTCACTGACCCCTGCCCTAGGAGTTCTTATAATTTGCTCACACGTTGAGGATGAGAGGTTTGATAAAAGTATTTTTTCTTTTGCTTTGTGAATTAAATCACATGGCAGGTCAGTGGTGTCTGGCCCTAGGAATGTAGCAGAGTGCTGAAAGATAGTGCTTTCTGGGTGCTTAACACTCTAGGGGATACATGCTTGCCATCCTAAGAATAAATTTTACTCCACTGAATAGTAGACAAGTGATGCTCTAGGATTGTGCTAACACATAAGATGCATGTGCCAAGTGGACAACACATTGTTAAAGCTCTTCAGTGCTCCCAAGATTGCTTTCTGGTTTGTACTGTTAACAGATTCCATTGCTTTGCTGAAAGTTTTAGAGTTTTAGGACTTGTTTGTCTTAAAGACAAGACCCTCCTTTTGCTGCTTCAGTCCAGCTGCAGTAACTATGTAAGCAGTGTTCTTTAAACAGAGTTATCTGTTTATACCACTTTAAATTGTGTAGACTTCATAAAATCTTTTATGAAATTGCATGTACTTGAATATACCAAGACTTTTTTATTACAGAGTAGATCCCTAGGTTTAGTATGGATTGCAAGTAGCTTTGGGAGTAGCTGCAGGGTAGCTGATGCCCTCCATGGGCTTGCTCACTATAGGACTAAGAGCCAATTTCCTGAATTTCTTTGCAAAGTAAGTATTTTCTTAAGACACTTTAACCCGCAAATACCAGATGAGGCCATCTGTGGGGACATGTGGCGGAAGATTATATTCTCTTGTTTCTTGGTGGTGGTTTACCCAGTCTGCCATTCAGAGACAAAAATGAGCGCTCTGCTATTGTTTTGTCATTCTGAGCTGTCAAGAGTTTAAATTAATAGCATGGTCAGTGTTAGGGATATCAGATGATTAATAATTATGATAAACTAAAAAGAAAAAAATAATTATGATAAACTAGGTGAAATTCTTGTAAGACCGATTATTCTAACTCTGCAAATGTTTGTAAGATGTTCTGTCTTTTGATTGGCATGATGGTTTGTCTCATCACCTAGGGGTCTGCATTTGACTCTGTACATGATGCCTCCATTACTGAAAGTTCTACGCTGGGGAAAAGTTGCTTGACAACTTTTCAGGTGAGGGTGATGCAATCCCTAGGAGTGGAGATAGAAATTACAGCACTTTGAGCGCTAGTGTCTGTGTCCTTCCAGATGGTATTCTGTTCAGAAGTCTAAATGCTCATTAGGTCTTGCTTCACTCACTATAGGTAAATAGGAAATCTTTGTGAAACCAGTTCTCATGGTCAGAAGTTAACTCTGAGGATGCAGTGCATCTCCTTTCCTCTTTAGAAAAAGAAATCGATTTGAATTAATATTGTTATCTTAACAGGAAAAACTACTCTAGCTGACTGTCTTATATCCAGCAATGGAATCATTTCTAGCCGCCTCGCAGGCAAGGTAAGTTGTTTTATTTGATAAATACTTGTTGCCTTTCAATAAATGTTAGCTGTCTACAATGTGATGTGTTCTTAGAGATCCTAAAAAAGTATAAAGCACAATTTGTGAGTCTAAGAAGCTGCTAAGCTATTTAGCAGGATTAAATAGATGTTGAGAAAAGTTCTTTTTATATGGCCTTTTATGAATATTTTATAAATGCCAAAATGAGTTTTTGCAACAAGTCTAATGAGAGCCTGGCACAATTGTGGAAGATTTCACAGAGGATGAGATTCTTCATGGGGATGAATTGTGTTTTGAAGAGAAGACGGAGAAACTGTCAGGTGGGGAGATAGGGGGGATAAAATGCATCAAGGCTAATTGGTGTGTTGTGCTTGATCTGAGAGGAACACTTGCCCAGAGACCCCTGGGGGAGGAAGAGTGCTGGTGGAGAGAGTGTAACGGATCAGAGAAGAACCTGAAGGCTGACTTGAGTACCAAGGGGGGGCTTCTGAAGTCTGAGAGTCATGGTGAAAGGACTGTTTTGGAAAATGAAATTAAAGAGCTGTTTGTTTTCAGCCGTGAGTAGGAGGACATAGAATAAGTTACTGGCAGTAGGGAAATGGAGATATTCCTTCCCTTAATGCATTTAGGACGCAATCAGCAAAATTTATCAAGTGATGGGAGAGGAGAGGAAGTAGAGAAGTAGAAATGAATTGAAAAGTAGCTAGAGGAGGCAGGTGGTGCACAGAGGGCCGAGGAAACCAGGCTGAGCAAGATGAGCAAGTGCTTGTGTTTCCTCCACCTGAGAAGTTAGAAAAGCACGAGATACCTGTAAAGTAAGTAGCTGGAAACAAATAATAAAGCATACATTAATGAAGTGGAAAACAAATATTTTATAGAAAAGATCGATGAAGCTGAAGTTAGTTCTTGGAAAAGATTAATATAACCAGCACATATGGTTGGTAATGGTGGACACAGGTCATCACACATGTAAAGAGCGAACTCTGATGTAAACAAGGGACTTTGGTTCCTAGTCACCTATCAGTACTGGTTCATTACATGTAACCTACCCGCTAACACTAACACACGGTGTGAATAATACGGAAACGTGTGAGTGTTAGGGGTGGTGTTTGCGAGACTCTACTCTCTGATCTGTTGTTCCGTGGACTTAAAATTTCTCTAGAAAGATAGTCTATTGAAAAATATTAGCAATATAATTTCTGGTTATCTTTTAACAAGAGTGATAAATAGCTAGTGAAACTGATCAAGAAGGAAAGGAAGGAGGAAAAAGGTGCAAGTTGCTAGGAAAGGAAGTGCTGCAGGGATGGGGAAGGCGCGAGTGGGACATGATGAGCCGCGCTGCCCAGCAACAGACTTAAAGATGGAGAGCTGGGACTCACCACAGTGAGGTCAGGAAGAGAGAAAGCAGTCATTCAAGAAACAGGATTTGTTGGCAGAAATCTTTCCACAAAGAAAAAGTCCGCATGGTTTAACTCTCATTCTACCAGACATTGAGGGAACACATGCTCTAGCTCTACCTGAACCATTCGATATCACAGGAGAGAGGAGGCAGGGAGTACTCTCCAGCTCCCCAGACAATGACATCACCTTGATCCCCGAAGTCAGCAAGGATAATACAGGATGGGAAAATCTTATGACAGCTGTTGTGATGGGTGATACAAGAGTTGTAATCATTATTAAGAAACAGAACCTGGAATTGTATAAAAAGCTAGTTTTTCATAACTAAATAGAGTTTATTGCAGAGACTTGAAGATTGGTTTAACACATTTCATCATATTAACAGATTAAAGGTAAGAAAGTCATGGTCATTTCAGTAGATGTAGGAAACA